TTAAAGTCACAGCTATCCGATTCAACGCTTCAGCGTCTTACCCATCCGCACCGTCGCAGACTTTGTCGCAAAGTTCTCAGATAGTCAAAGCAACACGAGCCTCCCCAAGAGTAACATCACCAGAATAGTTTTCCATAATACCCAGGCCATTCGCCCATCTCTTCTGTGAACTTCAAGTCGATCATTTCCCTTCCGTTCTTCAATCGAATTCACACTACTTCCATTCTCCTTCCATCTACGGAAATCGAAAAGTCTATTTAGGATACGACATTTAGCCATTTGGACATCTTCTCCACTCATCCATCTTCATCCACTGTGACCTTATCCTCGGCGATTTACCCCTGGAAATAGCTTTGTAGTCTTCACACCATTAAAGGAGACCGACAGCCTTGTTAACGCAAGCCAAAACAAAAAGCAACGTGAGTCAGATATAATCCATGTTCATTCTCATACTTCCCCAAACTATATTTATCAAAAGATACTTTATTTCTTACTACGCAATGGTGGCCATACCTTAATATGCTTTTGAATTGGCAATCTTATTTTCCCTCCTGTTTTTTACACACACACACACACATATATATATACATGTATAAACATCGTTGGACTACCATACTAATTAGAATGTTTTTGCTATCAGACTCCTTCAACCACATCCACCGTAACTATGATTACCAGGATCAACGCATCTTCCAACATGGGTCGCGGCGCATATGATACTACTGGTCTACCTTCACCAAACCCTCCTCCACCAAAGCCCAAATAAATGGCCTTGATGAAGCTCATCTCTTTCACGATTGTCCACGAAATGGCTCACGACCATCAGAGGACCTCATGGAGACGCAGGATCTAGGTCCGGTAGAGGAGATCTCTCCACATCAACTTATTCTCCTCTTCCCCTTCCCCAGATTCCAGCTTCGTCTATCTCGAACCTCACGATTCCCGACCCAGCTCTCACACATCTCTTGCTCTTTGATTACCATTCTCAACATACACTATTCGAAAAAAATCATGCTTTTAATATTGGTCCACAATACCCTTCTGTATAATAATTTTGCCTACGATTCGCGACGAATTTCCTTTTTCGCGCTGCGTGCGACTTTGACCCCTCCAATCCATTCTCCACACGATTTTATCTACATTCCAGACAACTTCGATAATCTTATCCGACTCTGAGACACCTCAATCGCACTCCTTACATTCAAAAGTTCGCTCGGGAGAAAGGATGGCGGTCTCGATCCACAGTACACACTGCCCATCACAAAAGTCTTTTCTTCGGGGTCTGATTTCTTGCGAGTTTTCCGGAATTACAATGCAGATACACAAATTTTTGGGAGAGAGGGAAGGCGTTGCATCTAGACTTGGGCTCGTTGTTCACTCAACACATTTACATTTCCCCTTTTTTCGCTGCGGCAGTTTTCTTTTTGGTGTTTTTAGACTTGCACTGTATTTTTATTCTTTTCAAATGGTTCGGAGAAAAAATTGGGAATTGCTCGGGATATTAAAAATGTTTGGTTGGTTCGGAGCACTCCTGTGTGTTTTATCTTTTGGTATTTCTGCGAGGGGGTTTGCATATAGACTTGCTGGTTGTACTATTTTCCATTTCCTTGGGTCGTTTGGTGCCTTACACTTGTTTTTTGTTTTTGTTTTTGTTTTTGTTTTTGGAAAGAAAGGGTCTGTTGCTATCGTCCTCGCGGATTGGGCACGCCTCGTGGGAATTTTTGTACACGATGGGAATATTTTTGGAAATTTGATGAACTGGTGGGACTTGTATGCTTTGTATCTTGGAAGAAAGACTTACACTATTATCTTGTATTCTATACTATTCTTTCAAAGCTTTTGCACTTCTATTGCTTGTACTTGCGCAGCGACTTGTTTTGTCTGCAATAATTGTTAGATTGGTCTTTACTCTCTCGATTCTACTTTCACGGACTGGTTCCTGATCGACGAGCGAGTGATGTGGAGGTGGAACCCATATACCCAACCTAGACTGTACTGTACAAGAGATATCTTCGCAAGGAGTTCAGAAGAGCAGCAGAGCGACTGTTGGCTTTAGAGTCTTTCATAATTAAACAGCAGTAATAATTAAAATCACCACTTTAATACTTGGAGTTTGTCCCGTCCCAATTCTGCTTAATGACGTTGCCGTGTGCCAACTTCGATATAGATCTCAAAAGCTACGCAACCAAAAGAGCAAAGAATAAGATAACTCAAACAAATAAGATAACCCAAACAAGTACTCTTTCTTCTCTCCTCATCTCCCCATATCGATCTGCACAAGTCTAGAACTCCTCTCAAAGCAAAAGTAATACATCACATTTCATCGGGAAGGGTTCATGAAACTCAGACAAACAAACTTTCCCGTATCCGAGTCAGCTCTTCCGAATCAAGAGATGTATAATGTTTGTCCTTGCAAAAAGCAAGTTGAGTCCAGGCAAAACAATAAATGCAAAAGCAAAGGTTTCGAGATACGATCATACGATGATACCCTCCTCGCAAATAGGGTCCTCCCCTACAATCAATATATTGGGGAAATTCCAAATATACATTTTGCCTTTCTCTTGGAAGTGGACGGAATGGAGAGTTCCTGTCTGCGGTCTGGGATTATCATAAGTCAGATGGGAATCTTACGGGTGATGTGATTTGTATGTATGGAGTATGTAGGTATGCATCTCTGTGCGATAACGATCTGGGGGTGGGAGATGATAATGTGATGAGATCTGCAGCGGATAAAAAGGGAGATGGGATGGGATGGGAGGGACAAACGAACGAACGAACGCAATTCTGGAATATGCAGAGAAGGATGAAGGGGGTAGAAATACGTTTGTGGTTTAAATGTACCAACGTAGATTAGAACTGGCGTATCCAAAAGGTTACCGTAGAACAACGATGCTCTGTGTTATGTAATTACAGCGAGGCTTCGAGAGCTTACCGTTCATCCATCGATAGTAGGTAAGTATATTGAAATAAACACTCACTATTTACAACAAGAATCACACGACCACGCTTCCCGACTCGCGATTCTGAAAAAGCGAAAGTAACCAAAAGCTCTTCAACATCACTCTCCAGCATCCTCAAACATCAACCAACGAAATCAAATCCTCCGCAAACCGCCAACTCGCTCTAAACACACAACCCCGCTACTTCAACCACAAACCCATTCTCATACTTCCTCGTCAATTCCTTCACTATGTCTATCATCCAGCAAGTATCCAACGCCACCCTCTCCGACAATTGGCGCACCATCAACATCGACGCTCTCGATCCTGATTCCTCGACCAACTTCGATATCTCTACTCTCTCCGCCCAATTTCCCCCTGTCTCCGATGCCGATATCCGGAATCTCGCTCAGCAGGTGCGCCAATTGCTTCGCGGAGGAGATGCAGAGGGTGCTCTTCGGGGCGCGCTCGAAAATGCTCCGTACGGAAGTAGTGATTCGGTGAAGGAGGTACATTTGGGTACTGTGATGGAGGTTTTGCAGAGCATCAAGGCGAGTGAGATGACGCCTTTGTTGAAGAGGGTTATGGGGAGTGAGGGGGGTGGAGATGTGTTGGATTGTTTGATGAAATATTTGTGCGTTATCCTTGATTCTTGTAGGACTGGGAAATCCTTTGGAGAATGTGCTAATGATTTGATTTGATGGTAGATATAAGGGCATGGCATCCAAGGCAAATGCAAGCTCGAGTAAACTCACCCCCCAAAGTACCGGCGGCTTCTCACAAATTGGAGGAGGAAGACCAGGAGCACAGAATGAAAGTAGTGGCTCTTCAATGAGTGTGTTGCTCAGTTGGCACGAGAAGGTCGTGGAGGTTGCGGGACTAGGATGTGTGGGAAGATGCATGACTGATTGGAGAAAAGTATAAATTGGGAAAAGTATAAATTAGGGTGGATAGATATTGGCAGATTATGACGATAGGAGTGCAGGACGAAGGTCAGGAGACTGGGGAGTGGGAAGTGGGAAGGGGGAGGACGGGAAGATGTCTAGCTGAAAAACGACTGACTCGCTTACTGGAGAAGAGAGTTAATGAAAATAGCAGATCGATATCTTCTTACGTTGATAAATGGAGCATATTAACAAACAAAAATCAAGTCCAGGATATTTTCTGGGGTACCACTCCTCAAATGCCACAGAATCCATGGGTCTATGCTTAGTAGTAGTCTACTGAATGTGGTGGAACTTCCTTCACTCATACGATGTCATTCCTTATGCCCAACTCGAATACCTATTCATTACTGGGGTCATGTTGCACCAAAATCCTTTATTCCACAATTCGTCCCTTCAATACACAAGCTGAAGAGTTTCCCTCATGTAGCCAGACATCCTGAATAGATTTTCTCGTGACTTCTTTCTCGTTCCCGTAATTTTGATGTAAAAACTCGATATTGCATCATTCAATCGTGCGGCTACTTTTACATCATCCTCACAACATTTCTTTATACTGTTGAAAAAGGTTCGTCTTCTCTATTGCTACGAACAAGTCCCTATAATTGGGCAAAGAAGTAAGTATTTCTTCCTCCACAATGCAATGAAAATTCATTAGGAGAGTAAGGGGTAGAGTATGCTTTCTATAGTTATCATCATGACGCCATCAATTGATAGATGTATACATATATGTATAGATGGATAGTGTGATGTAATATATTACGATACGATATCACATCAGTTGAAATTAGATTGGACTTGGAGTTGAATAAGAGGTATGTGACATGAGGTATTCATTTCCATTCCAGCTGCTCATTTATAGTTTCATATTATTATATTCTAGTATTATAGTATCATAATTAGTATGTATATATGCTGGTGCAAAATTTCGCGAGGGATAGTTGTATTTTGATAACTTGAATCTTGGATGTTAGAGGGTGAAAGGGAGATGGAGATGGAGATGGAGATGGAGATGGAGATGGAGATGGAGATGGAGATGGAGATGGAGATGGAGATGGAGATGGAGATGGAGATGGAGATGGAGATGGAGATGGAGATGGAGATGGAGATGGAGATGGAGATGGAGATGGAGATGGAGATATGATTTGAGTTTGGGTTTGGGTTTGGGTTTGGGATTTGATATTCTGAGGTGAAGGAAGCTATGCAAATGTGAATTTTCAGTGAAATTAGAAAGGTTTGGTTTGGTTTGATTTGATTTGGTGCGAGCAGCGAAGGAAATATAAGGACCTACTAGGTAGTTAGTACCTTATAAGTTATATCGTCTATTCAAATTAGCTTGGTTCGTTACTTGGTGACGGAAAGTGAGGGAGATAGCCTTTGGGCTTAGTGCTAGGGTGTTGATGCTACGGGTTGAGGACCGGTGATTACCTAGATGAGGAGTTGAGGGGGAAGTTGGGAGAGGGAGAGGGAGAAGTGAGTGTAGGGTAGCGTGGGTGGCGTGGCGTCTGTATTGCTGGTTTGTTCAGGTGTGTGCTCCACTGTAGAGAATGCTTGAATGCCGTTGATCACTAGAATTGATTCATTAGCGTAATCCTCAAAATTTCATGTGGAAAAACTTACAGTCCTTGTAAACCCTGGACGATAGCTGTGGTACCGTCTTTACTCGATGCTTGGCTGCAACATCAAGTTCTTCCTTGTAACGTGAATTGTATCTGAAACGATGAAAGTGTGTTGGGATTTGAGTGTTAACACGGGGCTTGAGGTTCTTTGAACCTTTCCATCTAGGATCGGAAGGTCTAGTGATGACGATCTCAACCAACCCATCGAAAACCGAGACGACTTGTCCACGCCATACTCTTGCTTGCTCTTCTGCCATTTCTTCAAGCTTCTCTTTATTGTCAGCACGATGTTGTTTGGTGGATCTGCTAGGCTTGAAGTGATCGTCACCGTCATCTTCAGATTCAGTATCCTCACCATCAGATTTGTCAGCAACTTCAATGTCGGCTTCAGGACATGGTGGTGGGACAAAATCTAGAAGTGTGATATTGTCTATCTCACCAATGCTTGCAATATCAACTTCCATGCTCTGATTTGTCATTGTCAACGCGTATAACTTCGGCAAGTCATTACCGTTCTCGTTATCTTTGAGATTGCGAGAGCCGGGTACCTCAGTGATCGATGCATGGAGGATTGCTCTCTGCCAAGCTGCCACGTTTTCCATCTCGAATGCATTCTCGATAGTGTGCGCATAGGTCAAATGCACCTGGTATTGAAGCTTTGATTGCCAGAAATCAGCTGTTGACAGAATCAAGCCGGCTTTTGTGAACGGTGGTCGGTCACCAGGAGCAAGCAGATTTTCAAGTCCCAATTGATGTTGTTCAGGACTGTCTATGATCCATTTTTGATATGGATTTGACTCGTTGTCTCTCTCCCACGCAACATGTGTTTGCTTGAGAAAGTACATGTGCTCAGCATGCTTGGAGTTGACAATGAACTCGAAGTAGTGGGGAGGTGCGTTGGTAGCTGATTGAACGCGTCTCACATAAGTCTTGAGCTCTTCTGCAGCATCTGGAACCAGAGTTACAGGGATTTCATCTTCGAACGCGCTCAGATGAACATAATCAGCCTTGAATGTAACAATGCCGTAGCCTTTGTGATGCCAGTCATTTGGTACAGACTTAGCCATTGATTCGGACGTTTTCTCCACGAATGCGACTCTGAGTTTGTAGTCTCTAATTGCCGTCATCGGAATTGATGTATGCAGAGTGAAACCAGAAATACTCGGGTTCTTCGAGATTTCGACATTTTGATGAAAAACAACTAAAAGATCATAAGTCACCACAATTAAAAACAATTTGAATGAGGGTACATACGACTTGAAAGAATGCTTGATTCTTCAACTCGTAATTGCAAAGTCTGTGTCGCAGAGCTCAATCCGTTGTACCCCTTCAGATTTGATCGAGCAAGATCACCGACCGCGATATCATCATACATAGCTAAACAGCAGGATATCAGCATTTGTTTCGAAAAGCAAAGATTGAGATTAAAAGGAATAAATTCTTGACTTACCCCATACTACAATCTCCTTGAACTTCTATTGGACTGGATCGATTCGGACTTTTTCTTTGGGCTCCTTGGGCTTAATAGAAACTTTTTCTTTCTTTTCAATGGGCTCTTCGTTCTCGGTGGAATTCGACTTTTTTTTGATCGCCAAATCAAGGGATGTAGATAGCAGGCCTTTGAATTGTGGAATGTAAGCAATATGTGAGAAGAGATCAAGTATATCGAGATAGTTTGTGGGAAGAAAGCGAGGCAACGACTCTGCTTTGGTCTTGCAAGAAAATGGATCAAGGAACTAGGGAAGCTCCAGATAAGATATTTGATTTCAAAATTACGCCAAAGGTGACTTCAGAATACTGGCAAAGCTGAGAGCTCGAGAATCATGATGAATGAGTTGGTTGTCTATATTTTTAATAGAAGTGAACTTGATGCGGTGCTATGTGTACTGCCTCATAACTGTAGATCCATCGTAGGAGGCGCGCGTGAGGGTTCCCCTAAATACTTTGGGGCTTTTCACTATTAACTACGATTCTACCGTATATAGATTCGGCCAGTAAATACAATAGCGATTGATTGAAAGACTGACATGATGAAAATAGAGATAATGATAATATAATGAAGAAGAGGTAGGTGGGAAAAGTTGATTTTTGGTAACGCCTAAAGAGGAATAGAAATTTCGTGGACGAAGATATGGATCGTTATAATGTGGTGATTCTCGAATAATCCACCAAGCCGGATTTGGAATAATTTAGTCATGTGATTTACACAGATTGAGAATCACTTTTGATACTTTCTGAGCTAACGAATATCAACCTATACTCGAGTTTGTTTCTCATATATAGTTAATAAATAATCTCTTGGATTCCTGGATTTCTTTGCTCGCTTTCTTCTTTCCTCACTCTCCTCTTTCCCTCCTTCCTTCTTTCCTGACTCACTTCCTTCCTTCCAAACAATACGATGCTATAAATAACCAGTCATCACAATTATCTCATACCTCACTAGATTTTCCCATTAGCCCTCCTCTTACTTGTACACTCAACTACATAGTGCTACTGAAGTTTGAATATGCGATGGTGATCAGTGAATATAAGGTTTGCAATGTGGAGTAGATCGTCCAGACAGTGGGACCTCGACGGAGAATTTAGTTTCTAACCTTATTTTAGTGAGAAGAAGTGGAGTAACATGCCTTATGGATGGGAATGAAAAAGTGGATAATTATATGAGAGCGGGAGTGTACAGACGCTAGGAGTTATAGATTCTAAAATGTAAATGGAACGGAGTAGGTTGCGGTTCGGGTCTAGGAGCTATGGAGTATATATATTCTACCTACCTAGGTAGAGTGCGATGGCTGCTTCGTTCCCGTGCTATAGGGTGTGGGAGAGGGAAGGAGAGGAGAAGACTTGGATAAGTCAGAGTAAAAACCAAGGAGGCTCTGAACAGATGTATTCTCTACCCTGGCTATGTAGGTACAATGGTGGTATTCCATGCTACTCATGATGCACATCTCATGAAGCCAATTACCAAGCCCTTGAATCAAGAAGAACATTTGGATAAGCAGATGACAGATTTCGATCTTGTTAAATAGTGTATAATCAAATCCCTCACAGGTCTAATCGAAGCTTCATGATGCCTAGGAGATTGGAAAGAGTTCAAATATTGAAATGAATTCAAACATCAAAAGAGGCTCGAATATTGAAATGTTTTCAAATGCTGAAGTGATTTGGAATCTCAAAATGATTTCAGACAATGAAACGAATTCAAATAGTGAGCTGGAATGGAGAATCGAACTGGACTCGGACATTGAAACGAATTGGTAAATTGAAATAAATCAGAATATTGAAATGGAACCAAACATACTGAGCCGACTTATCATACAAAAATATTAATATATCAAAATGTGAAGGTACGACTAAACAAAAGTGGCCCCATTAGATATTCATACGACGAACATCATCTGCCTCTGAAGAATTGCTCTTACAACATGAAGATGATTCAATGCCTCTCATAGATATTTTAAATTTCGTTTCCGCACTTGGGTATCATACATCTTGACCCCCCCATCCTTTTCCGCTCCAAGTCAATTCACCCTCGTGACTCCAACCATTGACTCTATGCTTCAATCAGAGATCCCATGCACCTAAACAGGTGGCGTGCAACCAAAACTAGTTGCGGCACTAGCCCCATCAAAAGCACTCATCAAGCCAAGACAACTAGTATATATACCTAACGCCGCCGTTGTCAAAGCCCCAAGGAAGTAAATGAGGTTAAACGTGTTGAACAACCAATTGGCCTTAAATCCTCGAATCCATCTCTTGACACCTCTATCAATATAGTTGTACGTTCCAGTTGAAGGATCAAACGACTCTTCTCCTGGAAGCATGGCATCTTTTTGGATCTGATATCCGAAGCCGAGAATAGCAGGAAATGTGTATGTGAATTGGAGGATAAAGAGTGCACCCACGAGCCCAGAAATGTAAGAGAACTGAGGGATGGCAGCGCAAACGACGAAAGCGATTACCCAGTATAGGGGTACCATTGCAATCCAGAGGATTTTACCGGGTTTTGTGGTCAAAGGTGGTGCTTTGAGAAGACCTTGGAACACTTCAATGTACGCCACTTTGATACCGATGTTACCGTAGAGTACAGCGGCAATGAGACCTGTGATCAGATTCATGATGTTTGCTGCGGTTTGCCAGTTGTAGGGCGAGAGACCTTGGATGACAGGATTGTACGAATATTGACCTTGGTAAGAATAAACGAAGATACCAAAGAACATGTACACAAAGTAGATGAATAGATCAGCACAGATAAGGCCTTTCCAGAAATCCATGGGATGTCGCATTTCGGCGAGGAAAGCAACGAAAAGCATAGCACCACCATATGAGTAGACAGCCTGATTTAATCCATTCAAAGATCCGGTAAATCCATCTCCTCCCGTTGCTTTGCCACTCGGTGGAGTATTCGCGAAGCGTTGAATAGGCCCGGTGAACGTATCACCGAAGCTAGCTTGAACCGTAGCATAATTAGGAGGCGAATTAGCTACGACACCCATACAGATGAAAATGATGAGGACGTTGATCCAAACTGCGAAGTTTGCGAGCCAGCCGAATCTTTGAAGCGTACGAATTTGTCCTAAGATCATACCAGCAGCCATGAAAACTATCAGACAAACAATAAAGCATAGATTTCCTTTGGCGATTTGTGAAATGGATTGGCCGTTGGAGAGAATAAGGATAGATACAGTGAACAGCAGTTGAATACACTGGGCGATATTGATACCATGACGAGCCCAAGTACCAAAAATACGGAAGAATAGGTCAGCATACGACTTTGCAGGGTATTTATCCGAGTCAAGAGCCAGAAAGATGTTGAAGATTTGCCAGCCGGAGTATAAAGCAAATCCACCGAAAACAGTGTAGAGAGCAATTCCCGGTCCATCTGGAGGTTGTGTTAGTACTGTTTTCGATGTTTGGATATTTGATCTACTTACAGCCCATTTGAGCAAAGGCCCAAGGAACACTGAAAGGTCCAAGAATATCAGTTGTGATGAGATAAAATACACCTGACCAACCAGCGGTACGGACAGCACGATTCGCGGTTTTCCACTCAGCTTCCGAAACAGTCGATTGTACTGGTCTGCCAGGAACAACAGACTTCTCGTCTAGACCTTCCTTTTCATTTGAAGCTAAGGTTGTTGTGGGTGGAGTGTCAAATGAATCTTTTGCGCCCTTTCCCTTGGAGAATCGATTTGTGATTGTGGATTTCCAATTTCTCGGTCCTTGAGCCGCAACAAACTTCTCATTTGCAATTTTCTCCTCAGCACGAGTGATTTCGGCCCAGTATACATATTCTTCAAAAGTAACACTGGGGTCGTGTATTGAAGGCATCGCCAGTTCCGTGGCCTTAGCATCACCTATCATGGGATGATGAGGATCTCGTGGATCACCACCTTCCAAGGCGAGATTTGCCATGGGTGTCGTCATGCTAGGCAATATATGGGGAGATCAAGTCGAAGGGATAGTCTTCCAGACTTGCTGTAAAATAAAGATAATGGGCGAACTTGAAATAGCTCATTGTGACGGGAAGAGAGAGTATATAAATATCAAATAACTCGATCGAAAAACGTGCATGGGAGGGGTAGAAGTGGCGTTTCGTTCATACCTTCTTCGAGTAGCTAACATGATGATCTTGCAGAAAAGTATCAACTATATTATTACTCCATTCGATGCAATCAGTAAGTATTCCACCAACGGCAAGGACCATAATACTCAAGGGTTTGAAGAAAGGCCAAGAGTTGTGATCGCGATGATATACTATTGGATGACTCGCTTTCTAGAATGATTGATGAGATCATTTGACACAATATCGTGAATAAAGTTTGAAAGCTTCGGAAAGTAGCCAATAGTTTGTTATGTTGGTAATACTTTCCAGGGTCAAAGCATGGCGGCATGCACACCTTCCTATTCAAGACGGTGGCTTCTAACGGGAGATAAGTCTAATTAAACATTAAACTGAATGCTGATATCCCCAGTTACCCTTTCTTCGACCTGTCATCTTATGTTCCGTTCATTTTTGCACGCCAGCCAAACAGTCATCTCTAACTTGTAGAAAAAGCTTGGGAAAGCTTGTTCCAACTTCCGACTACCGACCGCATGTGCTTGGTCTGTCGTAACGACTTACCATGACAATTCATGCGTGCAACCATAGCAACGTTGTAAGCACTGAGATGCTCGGTGCGGTAAAAGTCAGGCAAAGAGAGGCCGCTAAAATCTGACTGCATCTGATTTGGATTTGGTGGTGATAGAGTATCGAGAATCATCGATACTCACACTACATGATGGTTATTCGCGGCCGATGGTATCTCTAACAATCTCGTGAGAAGATAGTGATGGAACCGAATCAACGAATGGAAATCAACGATATAATCAGTGGCTTGCTATCTGTGATATCTGTGATATCTGTGATATTGACTTCTGCCTAACAACAAAATTCTCCGGCGACACAGAAGTAGGCGACGAGTACAGGCAGGCATACGTTGCTGGGGCTCGAATGTTGATGCGGTCGATGTAACAAATGTTCATGTCGATGGATAGCATCGTTATGAAAATTGAAGATTCGTGATTGGAGGGAAGATGAGCTCATGGTTATTCGGCAAATCTGACTCTGGCACGTGATCACTTTTTTTTTTGGACTACGCGGTAAGCATTTCAGCCCATTAACTACCTCTTAACTACCTAGTAGGTACAGTAACATACATCAGCTCACTCTCGTTACTCGCAGTAGTGGAACTAATACGAGAATGCCAGTTGCATCAATCCTTGTTTCTTGCCCTTGCCTTTGCATATTTACCTATCCAATCGGCCTTATCACCGTTTAGATGTGTGACCTTATATTATCATGTGCCAAGTGAGGGATTAACAGACTCTCCAATCTTTCTCGAGACCACGGACCGATGTTTTGAACTTGCCTCAACCTTTGATTCTCTTTCTGGAGGATGTTTCATGCTCAGTCAATGGACATTAGATACGAAGTTACACTTGCACTCGGGCTCGAGCTCGAACTCGAGCTCACAATTCTACTCGTAAAGACCGTCAAAATCCCATCACAGCGGAGATTTTGGACAATAGTTTGTTCTTAATCGACCCCGTTTTGTCGCATGGCATCCATGAATTAAAAATCCCTGAAACTGAACTAGATTCAATATGTCTATCAAGATGATAAGCAGGGGAAGCATACATGGATATCATTCAAATCAAACCACAACGTCGGGAATTACTCAGTTTCGTGTGGATTGAAATCTTACATTCATGGATCGATTATTGGAAGATATTATTGATTTGGCAAGGTGCTTAATGGATCTCTAGGTCAAGTTTGGTCAAAGATGGGGGATCTGGTCATTTCGAAGTGTTGAACGTAGATTATTCGATGATTCACAATGAATCGGACAATCAAGATACTTGAATACTCAGAGTCTATCTACGATATCTGGGTCAGTCAGTCAACCAATTTGTTTACGCAATTGGGAATGTGAGCACAAAGACTGGCGCTTCTGGACCACTCTGGTACGCGTCACATACGTCGTTTTGGAGACTGTCTTTAGTATCATCCCCTCCCCCCCTCTTCCTCTTCCTTCTCTCTTTCATTCCCTTCCTCACATTCACCGGGAGAAGAGAGCAAGATGCTTCTCTCTCCTTTGATATCAAAGTGCCTCAAAATAATGCAATTGTATAATACTGCTACAACATATAGGACTACATTGCGCTACATAAACCTAGAGTATGATTCGGTATAGAACTATAATATATCATAGTATGCAATGAATGTATTGTTCTAGAATCTGTTTCCTTTCCTTTTCCTACTTTTTTCGCATCATGTTCTTCCCTTTACTAAAGGAAGGGGGCGAGTCACTTCCCCCATAGTCAACGAGCATCAAAAACATTGTATCACATTATTACAATAATGAGCATATGATTACATAGTCTAATCAGTACAAACGTTCACGCCGTACAAATAGCTTCCGCAACAGCCTTCCGCAAGAATCTCGGCACAATGATCTTCTCGCGGTATTTGAAACATTATCTACATCGGTGTTCTTACCCTGACAATATATTTATGTATATATTGTTTAAAGTTGAGACAAGCGCATCCGTCTTCGTCTAGATAGCACAGTGAGCTTCTAGAAACCTGTCGTGAATGTCGCCGCTGTTGTAGCGGAATTGAAAATACCATAATAATAAGTGTGAAGCGAACGGTTATGTCAACGCGACCTTGAGAACAAACGCCGCCCGTGCTCTTTTTGAGCCCTTTCACAGGAATTTCTTGTTTCGTTTCTTATAACTGAGTCCTTTCTATTCACGTCTCGTACCTTTGAGGTTGTTCATGGTGTTTCAATGTCTTTTTGCAGATTGAAAACAAAATGGCGGAAGTTAAATCTATATTTTACGAGATGCTTTTCTGCTTGCTGGTCATTTTGAAACGCATCTAGAGAAACATTATTGTTTAGTAGAAATTTCCAAGCTTTCAACGCAGGGTACATATGCTTGACATCTTCTAATCATGGAACTCGTTGCTTTGGTCATTGTCGTTACCCGTCAGCTTTTCCACGGAAATAATCTATCATCGCACAACATCCAAGCTCTTGACGGTGTTCAGTGGAAAATCCGCTGCGAAATTGCAACCGAGCCCCAAAGAAACAACTCCGCGCATCATACTTCCAGCCATAATCATGGGAGAAAACGCATCAGAGTCCGAGGATCCAAAATCTAATGCACATCCTCCTCAATTTCATTTCCCAGATCTTGGCGATCCCGAAAAATCGGATATTTTTATGGAAGCTACACTTCAAGTTCTCCGCCGCATGGTATTTCCATATAACGAAGATAAGATACGTACTATGTCCCCAATTCTCGATGAATATCTAGGCATCTGGCCTGAAATCTGCGTCGACAAAAGCAGCATTTGTCGTTCCAAAATTGAAAATCTTTGCATGTTAGATTTGAACTTGATGACCGCTCTTGTTGCGATACAGGAAAAAAGAGACGAACTTTGGCTAGAATTTAATGGATATGAGAAGTTGAAGGACGAGGAAACTCCCGAATTCCGGGAGGTGTATTGCCCTAACTGCGACGAGAGTAGCGAGGAAGATGAGAGTGAAGATCTCTGTCACTGTCTGATTCATCCCAACACCGGCACCGCATACCTCGCTTATGGGATAACGGAAAATCCATGGAAGAATCGTCCTGCAGATGAAAACGAGGATTCTGCGGACACTTCGGCGATCTGTAGTTCTGGTGTGATGGCGGATTCTGAGGTTCCTGCGAATGAGATCGACTGCGGTTGCCTCTGTGCGACGTGCTTTGCTTCTCGTGGCCTCGACAGTGATGACGATAGTTATGTCTATCCTTCTTCAGAATCAGAGAGCGAAAATGAGATGCCCTGTCAATGTTAGTTGAGTAAGGAAGATGCCTAGTTTGAAGGGGATATTCCTAGGAGCGGCCGATCTGTGACGCAGACATGAGATGCCTAGGTTGATTCGTTACTTGGTGATAAAACTGAGATGGAATACTTTCTTTATTTTGACAAGAATTGAAGATTTGTCAGAATTGGAAAACATGCTTCATGAAAATTCATCATTCGCAGATTGTGACTTTAAGTGTACTGAAGGATAATCGATTGATTCAACAAACTCATATTAAAGAATATTGATAAAATGTTATCACAGTCATATAATGTCTTGTAGAGAACAAGTAAAAGAAATGGTGAACCTTATGTAGCCTACCACTTATCTTTGCTACGTTCTTAACAAGTAATTGTCTATCAGCACCCAAATAGATAGATAGCACACTCAGGAAAATTAAACTTGTGTTCCAAGGGAAGTTCACCTTGAGTTCGACCGATTGGAATTATCAATATATTTAGAATGCTTGCTCGATATTGGAAACCTGTATGAATAGTATAATCGAAGATGATTTTCATTAAATCAAGAGAAACAAATTGACAAGTTTACCTTTTAATAGAGCGCCAGCTGTTACTTCGAGAATTACAAATGCCGGTACAACCACGGCGTATGTCATATTCTTGGCCAATGATGGTTAGCCAACACAGAGAGATGTTTGAAGAAAGGCGTAGGAACAGCTTTTCTTTGATTGTGCTTAGTGAGCTTGGGATTAGAGTATCACAGGGGGAATCAGTTGAAATTGGTAGCTTCACTGCTTAACGTCCAATGTCGGATCTTGACTTACAAACTCGAGTTTTAACTTCGGTAGTACGGTTCTTGAGATTGAGCGAGACTAGTTATTGTTCGCTTTTCCTAGGGACCAAAAGTAAAGAAAGGTGCATACAGTATTGAGCCGAGAGTCTTTCATCCATGAAGAATGGCCGCTGCCAAGCCGTGAAATACCATATTGATAGAGGGAATTAGTGGGGAAAGAACATGGTGTCGTTTCTCTTTGAGTATGAGACAGAATATTGCGGGTTTTCGACAAGTTTTCAGTCTTTGTTTGCTACTCTCCTCCTTTAAATGGTAGCATAGAGGCCACATGAGCACCATTCTCGGTCGATAAAGCGCAAACATACCACCGAGAAGCAACAGATGTCATTCCATTGCCTCAGAATCGCAAGAGAGTAAGCATTCGGCCTACTCTAGAGGCTCTGATACGAGACATTTAAGGTAAGTCGTACATATCTCGTATTAAACAATGTCGCATAGCATCCGCTATAGCCTCAAACACTGGTGACATCGGTTGCCCTAAACGATATCGTATAGTCATTTAGGAAAGAAGTTTGACGAATATAGATTACAGGACAGAGTAATGAGGAGACATTGCATATAAACGAAGTAATTCCTCCCGTTTACAATATGAGTGGAGAGTATGTGATGAACTAGACCCAAAACTTCGGGGACTAACTTAGGACGGATCCGACGACTTCAGGCTAAGAACTGGCAAAAGAAAAAGATACAAAAAACAGAAGGGTCCTGTTAAAGTCAGGGAACGTTCTGTAATTGCCGTTGAAAGTACTCTTAGAACATGGCAATCTTTTTGTCATGCATGAGCAGTGAAACTTGTGCAACAATAAATCTATTTTGCCAACATGTGAATGCAAGATATACGGTTCCATCGATGCGGCAACGGTACATAGATCCGTCGAGTTTCAACATATTTAATAGTGAATGAAATCACATTGCATGTCGCGCATATGTATACTCTGTAGTACGCCAGTTGCGGCAGGTATGGTAGACACCGTCACGAGTCGGGGGATAGGGTCGTTTTCAAACCCATGGATTTAGTTAATGTAAGGGGCATCGGCAAATTTGAACTGCCTAGACAAAACTCTTGCCCATGCTTGTGACGTGCATTTATCATCATCACCACTTTTGAGTTGTTACAGAGGTTTTTTTTCCTGCGCAAAATGCGGAGGGACTGGTTCCGAAACCTATTTCGGACCGCCGACGAGCCCTAGTTGCATGAGTACTTTGCCGAAACTGACCTATAAAATCATATTTGGACGATTAGTGCTAGAAACTAGGATGCGAGTGAATATATTGGGAGTGCAAAAGCCTCCAAGATATAAACGTTGAGGTTGTGATATTTCAATACATCACATCAGGACCCCGAAAGCAAAACGGGTAAAGTAGATGAATGGCTTGTCAAACGCATAAGGTTATACTAGTAGACTCTTGAGGCTGCCATGTGCTCTTGATACTATCGCCAATCAACATGACAGTTTCCAAAGTTTTTGAAAAGTTCGGCGTCGTTCTGCAGGTACGGCGTTTTAATGCTTGGAGTTTGACGTTATAGTATCCCGGAAATCGTCCTTGGAAAGCCCTCCCAAGGTGCTTGTCATAATAGTACGTAACTTGTTGGCTGTGCGAAAGCGACATTGAGGAATCTTGTATCAGGAACTTGTGATATTACAGATCTTGGACTCTGATATGTCTTCCATGACCAGATTATACAGAATTGGTAGATAGAGAAATTCAACACGGATATTGTGATGCTCGGCATTCTAGAATGACTTCCAAGTTGTTTTGCTCCTTCCGAGGTTATGTTCCGAAGTTAATCCGAATGGCCTCCTTGATTCGTCAACTTGATTACCAATCATCAAATCTAACATTACTGTATGATCACAACTCCTCATTTCTCCTCCGTACATGCAGAATAAATGGATTCCCGAGAGTCCCTAGTTCTGCGAAGATGTTGCCAAATTGTGACAACGACCAATCAAATTGGGCAGTATTTGCCGCAAGAGCTATCATTCCTTCCTTCCCACCCTATAGGACAACTCAATATCCAATCTTTGTCAAACGCGGGATGAAGACCCCGCATGTAGTAATCCCATTTTGGAGCTGCGAAACCTCACATATGGGATCCATGAATTTTACAATACTTCTTGAACTTGCTACCTGTTACTTAAGTCGGAGAACTAACCAAGGCTAAGATATAAGAAGAGCCTTGTTCCTTTGACGGTACTGATAGATCATTTCATCTGTATGCAAACTCCTCTATAAGATACTTATACCCCCCTTCTACAATGCGTACGGACCATACCTTTTCGAACAACAATTCACATCAAACCGCATCTACATCAACTTCATCCAATATGCCTGAGCATACCATACTTCCAATTGATAAGAATTGGACTTTCAAACAGGCGGGCAATGAAGATTCTAAATTTCTCCCTGTCGCACAATTTCCTACAAATGTTCATTTGGATCTCATTGCCAATGGTATCATAGAAGATCCCTTCATGGGAAAGAACGAAAACGACGTCCAATGGATTGGTGAGACGGTCTGGGTATACAGAACAACATTTTCATCGCCCAAGATATCATCAGAAGACAAAGCTGGCACCAAAGCAGTCCTGGCATTTGATGGGTTAGATACTTATGCCACCGTTCTATTGAATGGAAAGGAAATCCTCAAGACAGATAATATGTTCATACCTGAACGAATTGATATCACATCTCACCTAAAAGATGAGGGAGAAAATGAACTAGAAATCACATTCGAGAGCGCATATCTCAAAGGATGTGCCATAGTGGAGAAATATCCGGATCATCATTGGGGTTGTTGGAACGGAGATACTTCTAGACTTGCTGTTCGGAAAGCTCAGTATCATTGGGTATGTAAACTCCTTTTCGTATCGAGAAGAATCATAAATCACTGACATTTGACCTCATTTAGGGATGGGATTGGGGCCCAACCCTTATGACTTGTGGGCCATGGCGACCAATACACCTTGAACTTTTCACATCCCGCATCTCGGACGTCTACTTTACAAGCAATGTGGACAATTCCCTGAAAACTGCGGAGCTCGTTGCGAAGGCGGACGTTCAAGGTGAAGCATCGCAAGTTAAGTTCGATATCACTTTGGACGGCGAGCTTGTTGCAAGTGAGACAGTCATCTCTTCTGAAGGACATGCTGCCCATGCCTTTACTATCAAAGATCCTGCATTATGGTTTCCGATCAGATATGGTAAACAGCCATTGTATAATCTTACTGCAACTTTGATTCACAATGATAAAAGTATATCAACGCAAACCAAGAAGTTTGGCTTACGCCGAGCAGAGCTAGTGCAGGACCCTTTGAAAGACCAGCCAGGAACCTCGTTCTTTTTCAGAATCAACAATATTCCAATTTTCTGTGGTGGCAGTGACTGGATTCCTGCCGATAATTTCATTCCCCGCATCAGCAAAGGAAAGTATTATGATTGGGTGAAGCTAGTAGCAGACGGAAATCAGTTCATGATTCGAGTTTGGGGTGGTGGAATATTTGAGGAGCAAGCCTTTTATGATGCATGCGATGAATTAGGCATTCTAGTATGGCAAGATTTCATGTTCGGCTGCGGAAATTACCCTGCTTTCCCAGATTTCCTCACTTCCGTGAAGAGAGAAGCCGAGGAGAATGTCAAACTTCTTCGTCACCACCCATCCATCGTTATTTGGGCTGGTAATAACGAAGATTACCAATACCAAGAATCCGAAGGTCTCACTTACGACTTTGACAACAAGGATTCGGAGAGTTGGTTGAAGACCAATTTTCCAGCAAGATACATATATGAGAAGATTTTAGTCGATGCCTGCACCGAACTAATTCCAGATACATACTATCACTATGGTAGTCCATGGGGTGGAAAACAAACCACTGATCCTACCGTTGGGGACTTGCATCAGTGGAATGTATGGCACGGTTCTCAAGAGAAGTATCAAAACTTCGACAAGCTCGTTGGACGCTTCGTCTCAGAATTCGGCATGGAAGCATTCCCAAATATCAAAACTATAGAATCATTCCTTCCACTCGGCAAAGATGATCCCGACCGTTTTGCCCAATCTTCCACCGTCGATTTCCACAACAAAGCCGATGGACACGAGCGCCGTATTGCTCTTTATCTCGTCGAGAATTTCCGCTACGCTCCTGACCCCCTCGAACAATTTATCTATTCCACTCAACTCATGCAAGCCGAGTGTCTAGCTAGCGCCTATCGACTATGGAAACGCCAATGGAAAGGACCCAGTAGGGAATATTGCGGGGGTGCCCTAGTATGGCAAATCAATGATTGCTGGCCCGTAACATCCTGGGCAATCGTCGACTACTATCTCCGTCCAAAACACGCCTATTATACCGTCAAACGTGAAATGGCGCCCATTTCCCTAGGTATCACGCGCAAAGAACACATTACCCCCAAAGACAAATACACCCGTGCCCATCTCACCAAGAAAACCCAAATTGAAATCTGGGGTTCAAACCTAGGACTCGAAGATATCACAGCCGATGTCCTCGTCAAAGCCTTCGACGTCACCACTGGCCAAGAAACCTACTCCAAAACTATCGCCTCCTCTCTCCTCCTTCCCGAAAACCGCTCTACAGAAATAACCGCCCTGGATGTCCCCGTGCAAACCTCCAATTCAGACGAAGAATCCCGCACCGTAGTCGCCGCATATCTCATCCAAGACGGCGTGCGTATCGCTCGCTACATCAATTGGCCTGAACCGCTAAAATACGTACATTTGCAAAAACCCACGGATCTGCGTGTCAAGCTGTCGGAAGATGCAAAGACGGTAGAGATTAGCAGTGAGGTTCCGGTCAAGGGGGTAGCGCTCGAGTGTGAAGATGAAGAGGTGATCTTTGAGGATAATTTACTGGATGTGGTGCCCGGGGAAATGGTTAAAGTGGGGGTTAAGGGGGCGAAGGCGGATACGAAGATTGGAGTGAGGTATTTGGGGATGATTTAGGGGATTGAGGGAGAGATATTTTCCCGGTTTTTACCTCCTTTTCTTTCATTGTTCTTTTTGTTGAGCGCATGGATAGATATTGTTTCCTCGGGTCGCAATGATGATTGAACGAGGATTTTTACGATGGATTGGCGCTAGGTGAGAATTCGTTCATGAAATAGGTCAAATACAAAGATCTGTCTTTTCATACTGTCAAACTTCAATTCTTGGTAACAGATTCTGGTAGTAGATGCATACAAATCAGACGAGTACGCTCATCCTTCCGGGCTAGAAGCATGAAGTATTGTTTTCGAATAGCTGCTGTACCTGGATCCCATCCGGACACCCTAAGTGATCACAACACAGTCCAAGAGAAGTTCGGATGCACGACCATACTAATACAGAGGACATATATTCATTCAATTCATTATATATAATAAATACACTTGCCGATAACAAGATTCCCCTATTTTCATTTTTGACACTTCAGATGGGATATCCTGATCCCTCAGCGTCCATGCCCCTTGATTTTCCAAAACACTTACACTCGTTGTACTCAAACTCCTACGCTACAATATGCTCAATACAAAACATTTACTTTTCGTTGGGACCCTTGATCAAGACCTTGATTCCCTTTCCTTCCTTCACACTCTTGAAAGCTTCCTCTGCATCCTCAAATTGCACTTCTCCGGTAATCAACTTCTTGACATCTACCTTCCCTGTACTGACCAATTGAAGAGCCAAAGAATAATCACCACTTCCGTATCTGAAACTTCCCTTTGCTGTGATTTCCTTAGTGCACAATTCCATAATTGGGAAATTGATGTCTGCCTTTCCCATTCCTCCTTGGACATATGTTCCTCCACGACGTACAGCATTTAACGAGGTTTGGATGGAGGGTTCTGCTCCGCTAGCATCTATAACAACATCTGCGCCTTCTGGTAGTCCGATTTCAGATTTCAGAGTTGCGGCGTTCTCTGCAGCGGAGACGCGTTGAGGAGTAAAGGTATGGGTAGCGGCAAATGATTTCGCGAATTCGAGACGGCTAGGTTGGATATCTGCTGCAACAATGATGGATGCCCCGTATGCACGAGCTACTGCCATACATAATAGACCAACGGGACCTGCTCCCATTACCACGACAGATTGTCCGGGGGTAATAACGGCTTGTTTGCAAATGTGGACTGCTACAGCAAGAGGCTCAAGTAAAGCTCCTTCTTGGAGGGATACATGTTCTGGAAGTTTATAACAGAAATCTGCTGGAGAAGAGTAAAATCCTGTAAGAGTACCATCGATAGGAGGGGTAGCCGCAAAGTGCATTTCGGGGCACAGATTATAATGGCCCGAAAGACAAGCTGGACAACGACGACATGGATAACCAGGCTCGAGGGCAATACGATCTCCAACCTTCAGAGTTTTGACTGCAGAACCGACGCTAACAATTGTACCTGCGGATTCGTGGCCAAGAATCATGGGGTCTTTCACGACATAGGGACCGATTGCCCCTTCAACCCAGTAGTGAACATCGGATCCACAGATACCGGTATAGTTTATGGCAATGAGAACATCGTGTTCAGATTCGAGCTTGGGAACTGGTCTTTCTTCGAATTTAACGGAGAAAGGCTTTTCGAGAACGAATGATTTGTTCTATAAGAGACCAGAACGTTAGAAAGAAGCTTTGGATAATAGGGGAAGATAATTAGTATTTCTTACGCTTTTTCCTGATATATCTGCCATTGTATCTGAGGATTATTACACCAGGTAATTATCAAATTTCAATACTTTTTGTTTTGTGAATTGAAGAATTGAGTTGAAGGATTGGAAGAGAAATGTGTAGTTTCAAGCTGTGGAGAGGCGGTCACATCACCCCACTCTGTGATCGACCCCGCGACGATTTATCCATGTTTATCCGCTCCAATCAGACGGTATGATGCTATGGAAGAAAGTAATCCGAATATCCCGTGAATTCGGTGAGAAGGTACGACGAGAGCCTCAAATATATCGAAAGGTTATGCGACAATGAAGTTATATGCGCTCGTTAACGTATTGGCTGTTTGACAGATATCCTTCCGTAGGTACATTCAAAAGTTGACTTTATTGTGAATTTGTTTTCGCTCGACTGACGTTATGGTTGATGATGTATGAACTCCTTGACCGGTATTGAATATGTCACGCCTTTCACTCATCGATGAAGGAATTTGTAGCTAAAGTAAAGTATCCAAGCCAGACTCGTGAAGCCAGACATTCCAGATCCAAAGGTCTCTTTTGATGCATTGCTCGTTTGGGAACCTGTACTCAGACTGCTTGTGATGGTAGTAGTTGACATGGTACTACTGAATTCAGTGACGGTAGATACATCACTAAAAGGTGTTTCTTGAGGCGATGGAGTTGTGATTCCGGTGGCAGTGATAGACAACGAAGCAGTCGTAGAAGCAGTAGTAGTGAGCGATCTATTATATGAACATGTTGCCGGAGTGAAAGTTGTCCAGGAACTAAGTGCTGGATTATAAGTCGACACGGCAGTATCACACAGCATGGTATATCCGATCCTGTAACTTGCCGTCGTTACATTATCGATTGAATTGTAGAACGAACTCGAAGTTGGAGAAGGGGAAGGGGAAGGGGAAGTCATGGTGAGAGATTCTCATATGATAATCAAGGGAGATGTGTGAAAGCAAACATTTAAAAATCGAGTTGACTTATTACTCTCCATCTCCCAAAACAAGAAAACAAGACAATAATAATTCCAAGTTCTTGATCGTGAAAGGCGGTGAATACTTGATTTGGCAGAATTTTTCAATGACGCTTATGATGATTTGAGGTCATCAAAGACGTAGGACCACCATACCAGGACCTAAAGTACTACCAGAGCTAAATCAGCTCCCAAATTTTCAGGTTAATTCAATTCTTGTGGCCAATTGATAAATTAGGAAGTTCGAAATCATATAAAATCATATAAAATCAATTAAAATCAACAATCCATTGATATTCTTCTCAATTGCTTTCCTCCTACCTCGCAGCCATATTCATTACCATCACCTCAAAATGTCGACTCCAATCAGAGGCATGCTCCGCACCCGACGTCCAACATCAGCCTTCCGCACAATTGCTCCCTCAACCCAACGAACATTCATAACTCTCCCCGGCAGCGAACCGCAAATCTTGACCGAAAAGCGAATTCTGCCCTATAAATCGACATCCCTCTACAGCCTAATCGCCGACGTAGACAGCTACTCGACCTTCGTTCCGTACTGCACCTCCTCCGTCGTAACAAAATGGTCCGCACCCGATTCCACAGGCAAAAAATGGCCCGCTGAAGCCAATCTCACCGTCGGCTGGGCCGGAGTTGAAGAAACCTTTACCTCCAAGCTTCTCTGTGTTCCAGGCACTATCGTCGAAGCACTCGGCGGGGATGCTGCGACCTCCATTCCCGAATCCAAAGTTCCCCATCATTCAGAAACATACCATAAATCCGCTTCTGCCAACACTATATTTCAAAGTCTCAATACGCGCTGGTCCTTGAAACCTTTCCATTATAAACCACCAAGTGGACAACTACAAACTGATAAGACGGAACATGATGCGAGGGAACAAACAGAGGTGAACTTGGTTATCGAGTTTCAGTTTGCGAATCCGTTATACACAGCGTTGAGTAAAGCGGTTGCACCCCAGGTAGCACCAAAGATGATTGAGGCGTTTGAGTTGAGAGCTAGAAAGTTCTTGGATGGGCCTGGGGCGGGTAAGGTTGACAACAAGACATCATTTGGCCATGCAATCAATGCAGCTAAGAAAATCGGTGCTTGAAATGGGGTATTAGATTCTCCAGATTCATTTCATGAAAATGATGTAGTCATCGTGCTCTGAAAATACTGTACTATATAACGACAATTCTCAGGGCGATAAAATCTTTGTATTATTAGTTGCGCTGCTGCAAGGGCAATGTTTTTGGAAAAAAGTTTCCGTCTCACTGTGCCAATTGAGATCAATTCAATGCCTGAGTTGGTTTGTATGGATACTGGAGTAATTTCATTCACTCAATGTTTGAGACAGGGCGATATATACTTCGATCCTCAAATCTTGGCAGGTTGTAGATGTGCTGGTAGTGTGTCAAGAAATAAGATGGCGTACAGATTCAGATACAGTCAGCCGGACTAAAGATACGCTAGCTTTATAGAAATTGACAGACAATTACCCAAATTCCAACTCCCTACAAAAGTTCTCCAATCGGGAGATCAATAATTGATGTAACAACACCTGGGCAGTACCTACACTCCCCCTTTTCTTTCCGTTCAGCTGACACCTATATCCCCACTCTTCTCCGAAACAACCACCCCGCATTCACACCCCAGCCTCATGCAACTTAATCTTAACCCCATTACCACTACACATAGTCAACGTCAAGTTAAACGTAACTTCCTCCGTGTCAACACTTTTTATCTGATCAAATTTCTGCAGTAATCTGATGAGAAAGAAACTGGCTTCTGTGAGTGCATATTGTTGGCCCAGGCAGATGCGAGGACCACCATTGAACTATAATTTTGTGTTAGTAAGGTTTTGACTTGTAAGAATATTAAACATTGGGAAGTATTGTGATGTGAGAAAAATTGAAGAAGATTGGAATGTGTCAAGGGAGGTTACGAGCTCGATAGAGCGGGTCAATGTCTATGCTAATGGAACAACGCTTTGAGGATCGAGGATAGAGGGGAGAGTACAAGAATATTAAGAGAAATGGCTCATCCTAACATACCGGCAAATATTCCCAACCTACTTTCCTTCCATCCCATCTCTCCGGCTTAAACTCATTCGCGTCCGTACCCCAAAGGTCTTCTCGTCTATGCAACGCAAAAGCACTGTACTCTACCACCGCCCCCTTTTTCACAAAAACCTTGCTCTTTCCATCTTTACCCCCACCACGCGGCAATGTTGTATCTTTGTTTGCCACTCTGAAGTTCCATGGCACTACGGGATATACTCTTAGCGATTCGTTCAAGACCCACTGAAGATATCTACAAGTCTTGATATTCGAAAATGTGATATTTTTCGGCTCATTGAACGTGCCGAATTCTTCCAGTATTAACTTTCGCAATTTTTGGTAGCATGCGGGATCTCGGGCCAGTGCGAGTATAGTAAAACCAAGGAGAGATGATGTTGTATCCCGACCTGCGAGGAGGATGTTCAAGACCTGTACACGTAGTTCTATTGGATCTCGGGTTTGCTCTGCTAACGCTTCGAAAAAGATGTAGCGGTCTGGATTGCTGACTTCTTCAGCTTTCTCTAACTTCGTGAGATGTTCGGCTATGATTCGATCGATGACTCGATGGCAGGTTTTGATGGCCTTGCTGAAACCTCTTGGCCACACCAGCCACTAGAATTTGGGATGGTCAGTAGGGCTGTGGCAGACGATTTCGATGAGAAAAGATAGATAGCATGGGCTGCATTAGGAAATGAAAGGGGTGCAAAATCTGAAACCCTACCAGCTTTGGAGGTTAGGAAACGTGAAAGGAGTGAAGTGTACTCACACTATATGGAGCAAATCTGGATCTCTTCGCCATGATCATGGTGCCAATATCGAATTCCCTCGCAAAAGCCTCTACATCTGTCTCCTCACTCTTTACACCAGAAGTAGCTTCTATTCCCGCACGTTGACTCTCAACACTCTGACCTAAGAGAAATTCCGTTGCCGTATCTAACGTGAATCGAAACAGTAATGGTTGAATATCCACTTCGCCCGACCAGCCATCCTTTTCAATTTCAGGTAGCGCCTTTAGCAGGACTTGTACGTGCTTTTCTTCCATTTTCAAATCACTTAAATTATCCCTCGCAAATTGTGGTCTCATGAGAGCTCTTGATCGTTCCCAATCCTTCCCATCTTGTGCAAATATACCAGGGCCTAGGAATGGCATAAAATTATCAATCCTTGGAGCACCCAAATCGAAGTCAGGGAATTGTGTTCCGAGCATTGCTTTAATATTGTTTTCGTCAATAGTTGCAAAGCCAGCGTTACCAAGAATCGAATTGCTATAAGTAAGAGCATTTATTTCTTTGTATTTCTTTTGAGTGTCAGGAGGGAAAGTCTTCACTGCGAGGGAGTTAAGAGCTCGAGTCACTTGATCAATGCCGAGAGGAAGATCATTCTTTTCGGCAGGGGGATGTTCGCAATTAAGCTTCTTGGCCAGAGCACGACGACGTTGTGATTGTGTTAGACTGTTGATAATGGCATATACGGCGTAAGAAACCAAGATAGTCAAGACGGTCGATTTGGTAGAAATGCCCGAGATTGTACCCGTGAGGTATTCCATAGTTGAAAGAAATAGTTGAAAGAGAAGAAGTTGGAAGTTGGGAGTTGGGAGAAGAGATAGATATAGAGAAGAAAAAGGACCGAGGGAGATAGGTAGCGTTCTTGTTTGTATTTGCACAACATATGGTCACACTCAGCTCTGAGACAGTTCTACGACGTCAAACCGGACTACGTACAAATCCAAGAAACTGACATCTCGATCGATACGTATGAATACAAAAGTAGCTAATGATAAGCAAAGCACTCTGCCCGAACTTGTAGAACTACAACGGATGAGAAGATAACCTGGTAGAAATTGAAGGTACCACCAGCCGCCCCTTACTGCTCATGCAATCACATCCGCATATAGTGAGAATGGACAGAACATTTCAATCTCCGTCTTGAATGTCTACAATTTCCTCACTGGAAGGCTTGATTGACTGGTTTTATTTTCAAGAAAAGGGTATGATTGCGGGCTTCCGGTCCATGTTTTGATCCCGGAGACAGTTCTTGTACAACAACCCGGCACTTATTCCTTTGCTATCTTGAATATACCAGTGAAATATAAGCTTGAGAATCTACCTGGTATGCATGCTTACTACCTACCGACAGATATTTATGTAAAATTTGATATCCGATGACGAGTTCTTGAAGAGGTCATTGGTGTAGCAAATTGTAAAATGTCATCTTTCGATGGAGAAAAATGTGTAACATTGGCAAAAAAAGCTTATCGAGATGTTCCTAAATCCGCAACCCTCCTCCGCCAGAACACCTTCCTACAATGTATCCTTTCATTGCGTCATTGATGATCAATATCTATTGCTTGTCGCCTACCATAGGCTATTACTATACACGGTTCTTATGTGGCGCCGATGATGTAAAAATATTCGTTCTTCCGTGCACTACGTCCAAACGATTTATCGACTTCTGCGCTCTCTGTGATCATCCTTATCCCTCCTATACGATCTATCACGATCATGATGGCGATCTCTTTGCCTTTCCCTTTCCCGGTCACGACCCTCATCTCTTTCTCTACGATGACTTCTCTCATCTCTCTCCCTAGCGTAATCACCCATTTTCTTCTTATCTCTATCACTTCCTCTGTGTGAATTAGACGAACCCCCAGGTCGTAACCTTTTAGCATCGGTCTTCTGAACCCAGGCCCCTAATTCCTCTGCATCTTTCAGTTCCTTTGCTCCTAGGCCTAATAGATTCTGCCTCCTCTTGACCTCCTTTCCACCGCCTTTTCTTTCTTTGCCATCCCACCCCATTCCTCTTAATAGCGCGGCACCGAACTCTTCCACTGGCACCGCATCATAATCCTCTAATGTCGAAACATCCGGTGCTGATGCAATAGCTCTCTTGTAGGCATCTTCTTCTGTGACCATATCATTTCCGTTTTCATTGACAGAAGCAATGATCAAGTCTGGCCCATTTCGTTTCGACTCCACCCCCATCAATGCCTCGATTGCTAGCTCATCTTCTGTTTTTATCTTTGACTTGTCTTCCACTTCCGCCACTTGTATAGTCTGTTCAATGGTTCGCTCGCTATCGATTAACTCTTCCTTGACTTTAGTCTTCACAGTCAATCCCCATTTTATCTCCCCATCATTCCCATTCACAACATCTGCCTTTTCTTCATTTTCTTCTCCAGCTCTCCTCCTCTGCTCCTCCTCTGGCAATAAATTCCTCCCTCTTCCTTTCCTCTCTCTCACTTCCCCCTTCCAATCTTTATTCTCTTGTTTCGGAATAACCAGTGGCGCAGCCACTCTCTTCTCATCTCCTTCTCTAATAACGCCTCCATCCGCAAATCCAGTAACAACCTCATGCTTTACCCTTCTCGCGCTTGTGCCATTATCCGAATTATCTGAATCTTCGTCATCGTGCGCAAAGGTGCTTCTAGGTCGCTTTCCCAACCCCGATTTAGGCTGCGGCCTACCGTTTGTCTTCACCGAGCCATTTTTAGATCCTGCGCCCAAGGAGAAACCTTTCATGGAAATCTTGGGCGCATCGCTCGATGGCAACATTCTCGGTCGCGGGATGTAGATTTGGACTGTGTGTGCGTAATCCAAAGGATCGTTCTACGGTGTAGGGTAATGCGCGAATCGAAGATATGCACGATAGTCTAATTTGAGTATCCGATGGCACCAGTTAATGATTGGTATATCACTCGGGGTTATGACTTCTCAGAACGCTTTAATGATAAGATTGAAGGATGTGTTTTGCGATTGTAGCGATTCAGCTCAGATTACCATCTATTTAAGATCCTCCAGACGCAATGCCGTATTTGAGCCAATACAGTGGGGTCATCGAAAATACCACGTGATGATACTTTATCGATACTTAGAGCCCAGCCATATATCATCGCAACTGAGTACGACTGAAAGTAAGAATCATTCTCATTCAAAATTTTATTTAATATTTCTACGAGTACCTTTAAGTTAGGGTTTTAGTAATATGTCATTTATATGAAGTCTCATGGAATCTGGGGGATACGGCCTGGGCAATTTAAATTCAAACACATCATAGATCTCATTCGAACTACAGCAGCATCACTTCATAGGGCCCTGGTATCATAGCAAAGAAACGAACAATGTAATTAGATATTAATGAGTAGGAAAAAGAAAGAAAGGGTATCTTCCTTTCCTATCTTCCACAACGCCTGAAAATTAATCTCTTCTACGAGAGGAACACCAATACAACCATTCTAGAAGGCAGATCCGTTAACCATAGGCGTCAACTTCTCAGTAAACAATGTTTTCCCCTTCACCATATTGACTACGAAGCTAGGGAATTTCATTCCTCCCATATGGCCTGTGCCAACCTTTTTGCCGACTGGGACTGCCAACATATCTACAACAGAATTAGTTTACCAGGATATTTACACGGAATTGAAAATACGAGTGAATGAGGGCTTAAGGGGGGAGGGGTCAACTGACTTTTGTCCGCGACCTTGTAACTTAGAGGCTCGGAACCCTTCAATATCAATGCAATGTTCTTCGCAACATGAGTGCTTTGTTTGTCGGTATTCACATATTGTGGACGTTCAACAGCCGACACATCGCCCACCACCCAGACATTTTCAGCACCCTTCAATCTCAAGAACTGGTCCACAATTGCAAAGCCGGCTGGGTTCAGATATTTCTCTGGAATAAATGAAGAGTTTGGGATGAGACCCATGGTTGGAATGTACAAATCGGTAATGATTTTCTCGCCGTTCGATAATGTGATTTCGGTTTTTCCATCAGGTGTCTTTGCTGTGCCGGAAACCTTGGTGGATACTTTGATCTTGACTTGCAGGTTTTCAAGTTGTTTAGTGGCTGTTTTGGAGACACTTGCGGGAGTGCCTTCAAGTACAACAGCGCCACTTGCAACCTGAAAATGGAAGTTAGTATCTAGGCTCGTATCATGTGATTCGTGTCCGTTACAGTACTCACCAGAGTGATCTGCTTTGAAGAACCATATGCAAAACCTAACTCGCCAGCCGTTTCAACACCTAATTGGGTATATGAGCATTGATTTTCGTGGTTTATCGTAGACGAAGAACATACCTGTCGCTCCAGCTCCAGCTACATAGATGGAAGATGCATCCTCGACCTTAGCTTGCCATTCATGTAACAAGTCAAGTGACTCTTGATATGAGCCCTTGCCCTTGAAAGGCGATTCCTCTTTGGGTCTTGAGCCCGTGGCGAGAATAAGAATGTCATAATTCAAACTCGATCTCTCACTATCTCCCGAAACAACAACTGTTTTGTTCTCTACGTCCAATCCCTCAGCGGTACCGACAACAAATTCGAATTTATCAGCAGTATATTGCTTGAATCCTGTAGCTATGGATGCGAAAACTTTCTCATCTGGCATTCCTCCAGGTACAATTGCTCGTGTGGCTGCAAGATTCCAGTATACATGGGTGTTTGGTGAAACCAAGGTGATCTTGATGGCGAGTCCAGCTTTGGCTGATTGCTTTAGTATCCTATGTGCTGTACTGACTCCAGCATATGATCCACCTAGGATGAGAATGTTCTTGAGAAGGTTGGCCATTATCTCGTGATGCGATAGTCCGATTAGTTTCAAATTTCAGAAAACACAAACTAATTTGTATGAGGATAGAAATGAAGGGATAGGAAGGTATTGAAGATTAAGAGTGAAATGATGAAAGTATTATAATATTGAATAAAATCGATCACCCAGGATCTAAGACTCTATATACCTTTCTCATATTCAACCTAGAGTTAAAAGAACAGTGCTTTGTAGATTAATTTTGGATTTTGGTATATCGAGGAAGTCTGTGAACGAGCCGCAGGTAAACGACCAATGAGAGGTCTTAGCGCCGCGGATCTGAGCCCATCGGAGAATTCAGCGCTTTGAATAAAACTAGACCACCCTAAATTTGCTTAGCTGACCGCCAGTTCATATGAGTTGTTAAGCATCTTATTAAGATTGAACTTTTTGCTTATTCAAGATGAAAAATTCGATGATCCATCATCAAATTCCAGATAGCATCTAGTCGCCTGGTTGTCCGTCCGAAGAGGAACTGGCTGTCCCTGTTAGCAATCTGTACCTCAACGGATATTATCTGCTCGTCAGATTGCGATAAATTCCAGATAGAGCGCTTCCCAGTACGTTGGAAGTTCACGGCTGTCAAATTCCATCTGAAACGCAATTGCGAGGGCTTAGGATGGAACGAAGAAACAAATGCGGGACAAGATGCATGATCGGTAGTCATATTTGCTACTCGCTTGGACATTCGAAGTTTCGAGCATCACGTGTTTTGATGTACACGTCGTCGAGCGATCTGCATTGAACTCATGTACTGTCTAGCTAATGTTATCTAATTTTTCTGTTTTTCTATTTAAAGAGAGGAAGAGCTAACACCGTAGTAGATACTTCGCTGTGAAATAGGAGTCAAGTTACAAGCTAAAGCACGTGCTAGGTCACGAACTGACATCAGCTCTGGACTGCTTCGTGAGATAAGATAACAATACAAATTAAAATCATTCGCTTTCGAGAGATATCGAAAGGAAATATCTGGACGTCACCGGGCAGGAAGTGAGATGGTGGTTTGACAGGAAAGCCTAGCTCAATGAATTCTAGAAGTCGTTCGGCCAATTAATACGAAATAGCCACCAAAAATATTCCTAGTTCTACTCATCTTCGTTTGGTTTCTTCTCCCAACTACACTCAGGACCTTAGAACTGCGGCGTGGCTATCGACTCCTCGAAGATGCTATTTCGGCCTAGCTTTCTAATTAAGCAAGCTTTGTACATGTCCATAGGCTGTGCTACAGGTGGTTCAATGGCTATTTATGTATTGGCACATCGGAGATTACGCCAGTATTGAAGCCAAATTTGCAATTTGGCCAAAGATAATGGTAAGTTGTGAGGCGGCCAGAATTTTTGCAGAAAGCTCATGATCAAGTGGTTGTCAATGAACCTTTAGCGGCTATGCGATTTCCTGATTCCCCAGATCATGTTGCTTTGCGTCTGCTTTATTCTTGTCTTGCCTTTTCGAGGAACACATTACAATACCACGTTTCGATAAGTTCTTGTTCATCATTATCTTCTCTTCCAGGACTCATTGCTTGGTTGGGTTTTTATGTTGGTAATTCCCTTATTGTTCGTCATCATGAACCCGAATTGCCCCTTCCTTGACGAGAACAAGATTTCCGAAGTTCGAAATTACAGGTCAAAACAGAGAATCTTTTCGTTTGAAATGTCACTTGGCAGGATCGATTGACAGTTCTAGAAAAACGTTCAGAATTCGTTGGATTTCCTACCTGATCCTCTTCTGCTATCAAACTTTTCCTTCCTCAGACTGCTAGATGATGGAGAGGTCTACGCTCCTTCCTCGTGAAGGTTGTTCGTAGGACAGTGGTATATTTTAATCCTTCACTCTTTCGAACAAAACACCTTTTCAATTCATCAAGAACAATTCTTGAAGTCTCATGCATAATCTAGAAACAAATTTCAAAGTTTTCAACATATACTGCGGGCATAGTTTACTCAACCAAACATCCTTCTTTGAACTTTCTCTCCTTTCTTACCTATTTCGACAAAACCCAATTCTTCGCCATGATGGTCAATGAAAACTTCACGGAAAGTTCTTCTCATTTGACTCACGTCACACAAGGTCGTGCCAATCCTCTAAATTCAGATAATACTGAGAAAGTCACATTGGCTACCAAATCTCAAAGAAAGGATCGAGAATGCAGGACATCAGTCTCAAGATATGAAAACAACCCTCCGGCTTTAGAATTCCATGGGAAAAGCAACAAACTCTTGAAACCCGAATGGAAACAGGACCACGAAAGGGCTGCATACGAAGCTGAAACTGTTCCACGCTTCATAGCTTCTCGCAAAGATTGTCAATACGAAATCAAGTCTAGAGTAGCCCCAGACCTGCATTGGCAGGCATTCCAGAGAGAAAATCGCGTCCGATTGCCGCCCAAATGGAAAATAAAATATCCTCAGTACACTTATAAAGCGGGAGCATCACCACGCCACAGGAACTCTTACACTGGAGCATCATCTAAGCCGCCACGCACATCTGTATTGTATACACAGAATTGGTTGATGGTTAGACTTCAATCTAAGTGGAAAGTCCATACGATTACGGTCCACCCGTTTCATTGGGAAGAATTTAAGGCAAACGAAAAGGATGGTCACAGAAAGCTTACACGCGCCATGAACTTCATTAAATATTAGGATCAATACGTCAAGGATAATACCGAAGATCTGAAGGACATGGATCAAATTTGTGCAAGCTGGGTTGCCTCTCAACGTGCTGGTGATAACCCATACTGCGCAAAAGTTACGGTGGGAGACCCAAGACTACTAGACTACTCATCTAGGCGTCTGCAATTGCGAAGGGAGAGAGAGAAGAAATGGCACCATATGCAGAGAACAAAAGAAAGACAAGGGAAGTCTGAGAAACTGTCAATGATTGAGGATGAAATTGAAGAGCTCACTCTTAGAGTTGGCCGGCATCAGTTTTCCTGAGCCACTTCCCGGACATCAAATCTCTGATAGCCTCCGCCCACAATTTTGCAGTTGGAGGAAACGTATGGGTACTCATGATGAAGTTGAGACGGTCTTTTGAATGGACGATACTGGTACAACTGCCTTTATCAGCAGTCAGAAAGCGACTTAAGTGGTTCATATATTTGGTGTTTATGGCTTATTGGGTTAGTATTGAATTATATAGTTGCATGGATGGAAACGGGACAGGAGTTGGCGTTTTAGTATTTCAATGATGATGTTGTAAGAAAGGATGGGTGAGTCCTAGGCATCATCACTGTAGCATTGTATATGCCATAGTACTAGTATGTCCTAGCGTGTATGCATAGGCTTATGCATACTCCCTCCAGCGTTTGTATTTATTATGAATAGTAAATAATTCACATAAAACAATGAATCTGTGTCATTCAATATCGTGGCACTGAGTCTTGAATCATCCATATATCAAGGACCCGTCGATGATAGCTTGGGTATCTTCGGTCGATGCGAAAGTAATGATGGAAAGCCCATCCATCCCAACGTCAGCGGCTCTCTGGAGATTATATTACCACACATGCACCTACTTTCTAAAACATTTTCCGCTGGCGCGAGGAAGCAGAGGAGTGTTTTTATCATTCCAAACTTCAGGAGACCTTTGATAAAGCTTGGTACACAACAGACCAGTAGATTGCACTTCGAATTAGCCTTGACTACGTTTCGTAAGACTTCACGTAACCTCTATGGAAATCCATACATGGACAAATCTTCATCCTTGCTAATGTCCCATAGATGTGATAAAGCGTTACGACAAACATAGACTTCATCCCATGAGATCCCTCTTTGAACTTACAAATACAGGCACCCTGAGCCCGATTCGCCAACTTAAGTGATGGAACACCAGCTCGCTTGTGTGAATTCAACCTTCACCCAATAAGTAACTCACTAACACCTGCTTTTCGAAAAAATTCAATGATAGCGTGCGCTGAATATGTATATATCCAATTATCCTAACAGTATCATGAGTATAACTATCATACCGGTACCAACCCACATTCTTCACGTCATCAAAAAATGAGCGTAATCCTCGAGATCTCCAGGAATGTACACTCCACTGCTCGCCCCCCCCCTCCCCATAACCTCAGAAAACACATCTCTCAATTCCACATTCCCTGTCTCAAACACATATCTTCCGAATCCCCATCATGCTATTCCCACAACAATACTTCGTATTGCATCACTCTTACCCATATCACATCATCCATTACGTATTAGCAACCATGCGTCCAACCAATGTCTTTCTCGCGATTCTTTCGCTCTCTTCTATGATCGCTGCGCTTGCGGCCCCTAGATCTGTAGCTCTTGATAGGGGATTAATTGGCTTGGAGAAGGATTGCCAATGTTCTGCTCTGGGATGTATGTTAATCCTCACATGTCTATAGTCTCTTATATAAAATGAACCTAATAAATTCAGCCGTCTGCCACAGAGCATCACATATCAATTGCTGCAATGGCTTCTCCTGCGAAATAATGGATAATCCCAATGGGGATTATGGTATTTGTCGCGCGTCGAATGATCGGAAAAAAGATGCCAAATGCATGTGTTCCGTGTCTGATGGTAGGCACTCTCGTTCTATATTTCTATACCATAGAACTAACCCAATATTCCAGCTGTGTGTCATCCAAAATCCGATATCAATTGCTGTTTCGGTCTCTTCTGTGACATGACCAATAACCCCAATGGCGATTATGGAAAATGTAAACCGTCGCATGAGTCGAAGAATCCACTCAAGAAGATTGAAGATGCAGGAAAATGTTTGGAATCGGGTAGTATGTTTTCTTCCACTCCTCTCTTCTCCTGCGTTACAGCCGAATACTAAAGTCTATCAAGCCATGCATTGCAATCTGCGAGGTGCACCACCATGTTGCTCCGGCGCAAAATGTAACAAGGTTGGAAGATCCGATAGCCAAATGTTCTTGTGCGAAAAGGACTCCAATGATGAGGATCAAGATGGTGATGACATGTGTTTGAAACCTGGTTGTATGGTTACCCCTCCTTACTATCTGCACAATACTAATTCCTCGCTAGCAATGCATTGCAACTACCTTGGCTCCCCAAAATGTTGCAGCGGATCAAAATGCAACAAGGTTGGAAAATCCGACAGTAACATGTTTATGTGCGAAAAGGATTCGGATGACGACGATAAGAAACAATTTTTAGTTCCTGGAGGTATGTTATACTCTTTTACATCATATTCATCTTAGAATAATAACTAATCTCTCGCTAGTATACCACTGCAATATGCATGGCTGCCCTGGATCAAGTTGTAAGAATGTCAGAGGTGAAAACTTCATGTGTGCAAAAGACTCTGATGATGATGACGATGTTTCATCTACTCTCTCCCAAGATCAACAACCACTCTTCTCATCAAAAGACAAAAATGTCTTCGATGAAGATTGTGACAGGAATATGTGTATTGAAGGAGGCCGTACGTTCCTATCCCCATTCCAATCACAATTTGTGAAAGAGAACTTACTCAACGATACAGAGATGTGTCATCGCCACAGACAAAATTCCAAGTGTCCACCTGCTCCATGCTGTCCGGATTTCCAATGCGCACATATGGATTCTCATCATGAACCTTTCTGCGTCTCCATGTCCAATCCGAACGAAAAGACTGCAGTGACTTCCTCAGAGAACCCCACGATGTCAAAGAAGAAGAATGAACTGATAACTGAAGACTGCGCACCACAAGAGCCCACTGGATGCTCACCTTCTGGTTGTGAGAGTCCCCCTTTCTCCTCACGAAATAGTAGAACTGACAAAGAAAGGTCCATGTAAAAAAAGATCAACATGATAGCTGCTGTGGAGGTCAAAGTTGCACAGGTATGTCGGAATCTGGTATGTCATATTGCATGACACCCGACGATCAGGAAAAGGAGCACTCTCGTCTATGCGCATTAAAAGGGATGTTTCATGGATTTGTTGAGAGAATCGAGAAATATTGTTTGCCACAAGGAGGCAAGTGACCTTTATCTTTCTATTTCTGTATTGTGGGAATGCTAATTTGAGAGTAGAATCATGTATGATGCAACATGATAAATGCTGTCATGGATTGATGTGTCATTCTGGAGAATGCATGGCCGATAATGACGAATTGAAGCTTTGATAAGAAGAGTTTGAGTAGGATGTCAATGATTTGAATGTGTTGGTAGTTGTTTTGTTCTTTTATTGGCATAGGAGGAAAACTGTTTTATGTTTGTTTTGAGTAGGGAATGTGAAGTAGGAAAATTAATTGATTAATTACGAATACTTGTGAGCCAAACTTGCGACCTAAGAATACCGAAAGTAATTTGCAAACCCACACACGAAGGCCCGTATCAAGTATGTTTCCCTTAAGAGGTATCTAGAGCCCCTTTACCTGTTTACCTTGCAACTGAATGCCTGAGTATGATCCTCCAAGGGGATGAAGAATCCTTGACCTAAATTGTTGCCATAAATCTGGTGAACGTGAACGAATGGTTTTAAAGACAATATCTCTAACATCGTGATCTCAATTCGTAAATCATGCGATAATCGTCTACCATGGTAGAGGGAGCGAAAGATAATTCCACAAATTCGTGGTAGCCATCACAGTACATGGCATGTACTTCAAATTGCAATCGTACATTTCTCCTCTCTTGATTTGGTGTCTAAACTGTTGACCAGCAACATTTCGAAAAATTGAAAACCATCTCCAATCGAACAAGCTTGATATTAACCTTGAATAACGATCAAGGAACCCATCCAATCTCTTCAATGGGTCCTCTAATCCATAACCGATGTTCATCATCCAATAAACCCCAAATTTGAGCAATTAGATATTCGGACCAACCTTTCATCCACCAATGTGAATCCAGGTACTTCAATAATACGGCAAAATATGCAAAAATTGTAAGAGCCCCCGCAGTCCTGTGTCGAAGAAGCACTAAATAATGATCGTGTATTCGATACGGCCATATAAACACATCAGTCGGCTCGAAACTATGACGATCCCTATTTGCAAGCACGACGAAAGACTTTTGGAGCTCATCTATGCTCTGAATATATGCTTCCAAATCCTGTGGATCAGTCGTTGACTCTGACAGAAATTTGGCTAGATTGATGAGATCCTCGTTTGGGGGAGTAATCTGATCATTTCTCAATTGATCACGTCTCCCTCCAGCAGTAAAGATGGGTCTTAGACTCCCACTGTAAATTAAATCTGGAGCATGATCTGTCAAAGCTCTGATTCCTCTCAAAAGAGAAACCCAATCCGATACATCATTATCGCTGACAATCAAAAGATCCACAGGTTTTCGAGGACTTCCTATCGAGTACAATAAGGTGAGGGAGGTAAATACATATAGGGGAGTACAGTTTTCATCGTTGATATTACTCATAATCGGAATTGCATCAGCCAATGCCTTTTGATGATGAAACACAGCTCTCGAGACATAAAGATTTCTTTTCTCTGGTTTATAGTAAGCAATATGAAGGGCCCCAAGTGCCATAAGAGTCCGCATCAAAAATTCATGAGAGTATGAAAGTTGCGGAACGTTGACTCGCCATAATGTTGCGATCGAAGGACTTGAAGCCAAAGTCATGGACGTAGATGATGTGTAATGATGAAGTAGTTCCATGTCAAGAAGAGTAAAGTTTGGTGCTTGACTGTTGAGCGTGGAAATGGAAGGTAATGGCATTTGGTAGGTAGAAACTGATGGCCCAGTGGTACTCATAGGGCTAAACGTATTCATGGGAGTACCGGCGCCACTATAGCTAGGACTAGGCGACGGAACCGATGCAGCAGGCGTGACTGCCGCGCTGGTGACCATAATATCGCATTGTACGGAATGCCTGATGCAATTGTTGCCTACTTGATTATTAGAATTCGAAAGTAACATTCGTCGCGCGCTCAATATTCTAGATTGCAATCAAACCCTAAGAAAATTTCAAGTTTTGATATCATCTTAGAGATAATCATTTCAAGCATGATCAATGCAACATGTCTTGAAGATTTTCAAGAACGGACCGCAATCCAGACTACTGAACAAATTTATTTGAATGTCTTACATGACGGTTTGTTTTCATCGCACTAAAATAGAAGTCATTAATCATGCATTCCCCATACAAAAGAAACCCTGAGTAGCCATACCTTAATTTTCCTAGTTTTGCAAACGCGACAACCAGTCCGAACTTTTCGATGTGGTTTACGAGATTTCCCTTGCATGATCCAATTTTTCACAAGATCTTATCTTATCGCGTTTGCAAGACCCTTGGAGTGGCCAAAGGAACAAGAGAAGTCCGAGTACGTCGATGGAAGGATACTCCGTTATACCGAAGCCTTATGAGCCTTTTGCTAGCTATCAGTTGTTTTTAGAGGCCCAATAAAGTTGTGGCCGGAAGATCAAGATAGCCTGTAATTGATAGGCCGAGGGGAAGTTGCCGTGGAGCCAAATTCGAATTCCGCGTGTTGCTGGGGCTGTGGTTTGATGGAATGAGGTTGTGAGATTGAAAGGGAAGTGCATGCGAGAAGTGCGAGAGGTTTACGAGTGCGAGTGCGATGTGCGAGTGGCTTGAGCTAGCAAGGAGACTATCAAGCGATCCAATTAGACAGTCTATTTGGATGTCATCCCCAATCAAATTTCGTGTCATGGCGATTACGATACTCAGCCTTGTTTGATTGCGAGTAAGGTTATTCTAGACTAAAAGGTTTATACAGTCACTGTATACAGATAATAACCGATCGCCTAAATCACATCAGATTCATTCTTAAAACGAATGAATTTAAACATAATTTATATCTGAATTTGTTATATATATTTATAGAATTCTATTAAATTCTAGTTATAGATTTCAAAAAAATGAATAGTTTATTTTTAGGATTTTTATTGACTGTATTATATAGTTTTAAAATATAGTAATTTATATATTCTAGAATTTACTAATAAAATCAAGCGGAATTTAAAGAACTTTTATAAGGTTTTATTTCAATCATAAAATATTAATTCTATAATTTATATGTTACGGGAGCTGCCTCTAGGATCATATAAAAATATTTAGAGTTCTTTCAAGATGATTTAGTCTAAACTTCAAATAGGAATTCAATAAGATTATAATTGGTTGCAATTCTCGTAATTATAGTAATAAAACTAATAATTGTTCTTAAGCATGAAGCTCTATATTGTAATGAAACCTATTCCCTTATATAGACCTTCGTTTTCTATCCTAGTCTCTAGAACTTTTTCGATATGTTGGATCGTTAAGGATCGCAACGTGCTCTAGGAGCGCTGAAGCTTCTTGACGCTTCATCACGTATAATTTATATCATGTGATGTGGTATGTTGGATGCCGTTGTGTTACAACGGATTAGTAACAGGCTGTAGAATCACTGACTTATAGGCTATAATGGTATTATAGGCCTCAGTGATTCAGCTGCAGTATACCGGGGGACACTAGGCACCCAAGGAAAGCCTCAGGCATGTATATAGTATTAGTTATAGAATACACTGAATCATAGGACATGGTTCCTAGGACAGTAGGGTCCTAAGAAGAATAAGCAATACAGGACACAGTAAGCAAGAGAGGTCTTGCTAGGATTAGTAAGCTCCCAAGGGATTAGCCCTAGGACAGGAAATAAGACAGGACGACAAGACTCACGGGACTAGTATCACGTGATGGACCATCCCATCAGTCCCACCGATTATTATCAATGGGATCAGTGGGATCCCACTACGCCCACTACTCTCAGTGAGTGGGATCGATGGGATCGCAGAGTGCAAAGGTCTATATAAGGGAAAGGGTTTCCTTACATGTAGAGCTTCGTGCTCAAGAACAATCATTAGTTTCATTACTATAGTTACGAGAATTGCAACCAGTTACAACCTTATTGAATTCCTACTTGAAGTCTAGTCTAAACCACCTCGAGAGATCTCTAGACACTTCCACGTGACCCTAGAGGCAGCTCCCGTAACACGTTGTAACATTATATTAAAACCAAAAAATTAAAAAATATAAATCTTTATTATATAAATAATTCATTTGAAAAGTTTCAATCGAAAAATATAATTATTAATATTAATAAATCATTACATAAGATATATTAAATCATCATTTTTTAGTACAATTAAGATAAGTAGTTATAATCTATATTCTAATTCTATATAGTAAAACCTCTCTATAAGGATTCCCCTAATAAGAATAACCTCTATTATTCTTATTTTTTATTATTAATCTTAAAGATTTTTAAACCTAAAAACGGTCTGTATTCTTAAATTAGAGTTACATTTTATAAAACTAGAAAATGTTATAGAATTTAACCCGATTGAGATTAATTGAAGTCAAATTACTATTAGATCGAGATTAGTCGAATACCTCTCTATAAAGATACCTCTATATATTCTTAAAAATGATTATAAAAACCGGTATCCTTATAGAGAGGTTTTACTGTATTCAATCTACGAAATAGTGCTACAAGTTGATAATTCTTTGAAAACATTAGAAAATACAATGAGCAAAACAAATGCACCTCAAAATATCGTCCTCCCAAAATCATGTTTTTGGGATAGGTACTCTTTCCAATCTTGAGATTACCTCTAGCTATTCATGCTTCTCACATGAGTCAGGGATTTGAAGAGTTTACCGCCAAGTGGTACCCACATTCATGCTCCGCCCTCCTCGCATCCCATGCTCGCCCCTCCGAATGCGAGAAAGCGAGAAGCGATATACGAATGCGCCACTACGTCTCAAATGAAGAGCTTCTCAATACGAAAATGCGACTTTTCATCTAGTTTGCATTTTTCTGGGAATCACATATTATGTAGCTCTCTCCTCTCCTCATTATGGAGTCTTCTATTCTGTCTCATCCCCATCTACACGCTTCTTTCTTTCCTCTTGAAAGATATAGACCGGTCGAGATCTCAAGTTCCGATATTGTTCTGCTTCCCGTCTCCTGAGCTTCGAATTCGCATCTAAAAATTAGACGAACGTGATAAACTCATCACATCGATCATCATGTCGGTCAATGGAGAAAAATATATGCTCTATCACTATGAACCATCCACAGCCGCAGCTTGTGTTTTTGTAGTCCTATTTGGTATCTCCGCCATCCTCCACATCTACCAATTAGTCTCCAAGCGAACATGGTACTTCATTCCCTTCGTTATCGGAGGTTTATGTAAGTGTACCCTTCTACAAATCTTTACAGCTTCACTTCACATGATTTGACCGCTGCCGAAAACCTACAACTTTCACATATCTTAGCTCATACTGACAAACTCTACAGTTGAAGCCATAGGCTACGTCGGGCGTCTCCTATCATCTCGCGAGAACTACGGTGATTGGACACTTGGACCATACATCATGCAAACGCTACTCATCCTCATCGCCCCCGCCTTTTTCGCCGCATCCATCTACATGGTCCTCGGACGTATCATCGTGCTCACCGATGGCGAACAATATTCCATCATCCGCGCGCGCTGGCTCACCAAAATATTCGTCGCCGGTGATGTTCTTTCTTTCTTGATGCAATCCAGTGGTGGCGGAATACTCGCCAGTACCTCATCCGCTTCGAGTGTCAAGATGGGAGAAAACATCATTACGGGTGGTCTCGTCGTCCAAGTTGTTTTCTTCGCTTTCTTCATTGTCACGACCGGCATTTTTCACCACAGAATCACAAAAGCACAAGGCGGAACTCATGCTTCCGCTGTCCCATGGCAACAATATCTATACATTCTTTACATCGCCAGTACCTTCATCATGATTCGATCGATATTCCGTATTGTAGAGTATGTACAAGGATCTGATGGTACTCTTTTGTCGACCGAAACGTACATCTACGTCTTTGATGCTACGCTTATGTTTTTGGTTATGGTAATCTTCAATCTGAGACATCCAAGTGCCATTATCCAAGGAAAGGGACAACAGTTTTCGACTCCAGTTTCGACAGGAAGCAGAGAGGGATACCCGATGAGCGAAAGAGTTCCATCTGCGACCAAGTACCAAGGTCATGGCTATGCGAGAGAATCCGTCTAGATCGGTATAGAATGGAACAACGCCGCGAGGGTATGAGTAGCATTTGGGGCTGCACGGGATAATGAGAGGAGCACATGAGTAACATTTCGGGTCGGAAGGAAAAATGTTACGGGAGAGATCTCTCAATACTAATGCAATATGGGTGGCACCCTCCAACTACGGTCGGCATGGGTTTTTATTTATTTCTTTTGTTTTCAACTGTTTCTACAGCAAGGCGTCTCAGCATGGGATCCATAGAGCATGTACAAGTATAGCATGCGACTTTACATGGTATTAGAATATATGATTAATGACAATATATCCAAAACCATTCAGAAGAGAATCATTGTGATATAATCGTACCGAATTATCTTTCTTTTAGGCGAACTTGCACACCTCGTTAAAGAATCACCCCTTTGTTGGAAGACTTGAAAGCCATAGTGTTAGAGCGTTGAAGCCTACATTCTTAAATGCATCTTAAACGCTCATTCTATGTACTCCCCTCTTTATCTATGGAGATAAATAAACTGGCAGTCAGCTTCTTCTCCGTAAGAATACAATTCCTGAGTTCACTTGTCTTACAGATCAGATGTCACAGCGATTAATTAGCCACTGAAAAGCTTAGATGAAAATATCAAATACAAAAACGCTCACCACCCTCTACAGAACTATATAATCTTTAGTATCATTCTCAATGGCAACACCTCAACCAACACTCCTGCAAGTATTCAAAATTTTGTGATTGCATAAACACTCTTCTACTTTCACATCTCTACCCATCCATCAATTTATCCATATACCCAAACCCAGTACTCGAAATCCTACCCTCTCCCTGCAAAAAAAACTTCCCTTAAACACCGAACCCCAAACCCATTCACACCCCAAGTTCCCTCTCCCAAAACTCCTCAATAAATCTCCCCACCACCTCTTCATGCGTCCTCACCAAACCATGCCCGGCCCCACGCACCTGCAATATCTCCTTCCCCCACCCCAACCCCCCCAACTCTCTCTTCACAAACTCCGGCGGAAACGAAGTATCACATTCCCCCACTATCACCAAAATCTTAATCCCACTCTCAATCAACTTTCTATAACTCTCATGCTGATCAAACACATTTCCATATCTAAAAATACTAACCACACTCGCTTGATGCCCTTTATGATTTTCTCTCTGCCACCGTTTAATTGGTTCGGAAACAAATTCTCCCTGTTTAAATGCATCCTTCCAGTTTCTATTTGAGGGAGCGTAACCCTCTAATTCCTCAATGATAATATAATCACTCTCTTCATCTACCATCCACTCTCCATCCTTCCGCAACCTATCCCACCATCCACTATTCCTCTTTTTCCACAGTCCCGCTCCAGCTATAATCACCGCACTCTCCACAACCTGCTCATACACCGCCGCGAAAGTAGCCACAATACTCCCGCCCAAACTAAACCCCACAAAATGCGCTTCCTTCCATCCCAAACACGAAAGAACTTCAAAAATCTGTGAGTGCATCAACGCCGGGGTATGTGCTTCCAACGGAGTAGAAGAATTTCCATGGCCCCAGAGATCGTAAATCACGACGTGAGATCCCGAGGTTATGAGTTGACGTGCAAGAGGTGCGAGACCAATAGCACTTGTTCCAATACCGTGGATTAGGAGGACTTTTTTGGTATTTGATGAGGGAGAGGAGGAGGGATGGAAATCATAGTAGTGGATTGTTCCTCGAGATGATGGGATATCTTTTCCTCGGGGAAGGATACCGGGAAATTCTTCTTCGAATGCTTTTGCTGATGGGGGTGGGATGTAGGAGAGTTCGTTGATGAGAAAGGGGGGAGGAAGTGAAAAGTTTGGCATTTTGAATGATTTGATTATCAAAGAAGTGATGAAGGGAAGTGAGCGTTAACGTGTGAGGTTCAAAACAAAAATTGGGGCTTGACCACTAGTGGTCATTTCACCTAGAGCCTGCAAGCAAATTTGTAATCGATGTCCCTGTACAGTCGTTGATACTCAAATACAACTAAACAATTTTTTTGACTAATTTTTACTTTTATTATTACAATTGATAGCTCTGATTGAAAAAAAGAATAATAATGTAGAATATAATTTGAAATAATAGTTGATTGATTTAATAATTAATATAATATTTATATAAAGATCGCTAAAACATTTAATAGTGTTCATAATAAAGGAGCAGGCTGTTACGGAAGCTGCCTCTAGGGTCACGTGGAAGTGTCTAGAGTTCTTTCGAGGTGGTTTAAACTAAACTTCAAGTAGGAATTCAATAAGGTTATAATTGATTGCAATTCTTGTAACTATAATAATAAAACTAATGATTATTTTTGAGTATGAAGTTTTATATTGTAATGAAACCCATTTCTTTATATAGACCTTTGTACCCTATAAATCAACAAATCGATTACCATAAAGCCGATTTCGATAAATCGGTTTTCTGATTACGTAACGTCCATCCCGTGATTAGTAATGATATTACCACTTATCTAACCTGTGCTCTCTAGCCGATTGTCCCTACAGCGCTGTTTCCGTAGGTCCTAATATCAAGGCTTTAGGTTTACCTTATAATCCATGTTGCGGTGCGGGTACCTCCGTAACACAGGCTAGTAGAATATATGTATTATTGACTATGTAGATTAATTGTTCTAAGGTAAAATCTAATTACGAAGTGAAAGTAATAGTAGTAGTAGTAAATTCATAATCGATTCGATCTATATAGCTATACTAAGATTATATAATGCGCCTGTATCTATGTTTAATTGAATAAAGTAGATAGGAAAAAGATACAAAAACTCATTCCCTTTCGATATTCCATTAAATCGTTTATATTATATATTTATTTTGTTCAACATTTATAGCCCGTAATATTTGTACTTTCAAAGACGATATTATTATAATTACTTTATTTCTATTCTACAAGTTAATAATATATGACTTATTTCTATTTGATATAAGCTCTCCTCTCCTTTTATTTATAATATAATGATTTTTATTATTGTTGATATTATTATCATAACAATATAACCTTATAATTACTCATTTTTGCTTCATAGTAATTATATTTCTTTATTTGCTTTTTATCTTTTTTATTCTTTTCCTTTTTATTTATTTCATTTGATTTTTTATTTATTATTTGTTTTATTCTTTATGATGGAGTATAAATCTTTTTGTATTTCTTTAGATGTCCTGTTGTATTTTGTTCTATATTCACCCTATTATTACTTTTATTTCTGTCAACTCGAACATTACTCTGTTGCTTTAAAAGTAATATATACATAGTAGCTTAGCGCACGTAATACAACTTTCAACAAATAGTTTATATAATCAAAAATTATTCTAATATATACCTATACTAGATAATTAATAATCTAGATAAAATAATATTACTTTAATATTTTTCAATCTATTTTTTTTATAGAAATAGATACTTTATTTTTTAATTTTTCAATCTATTTTCAAATATAAATTATTCAGACTAGATAATATATTTTTAAAAATTCTTTACTCATATAATATTTATAACACCTTAGCTATAAGTATATTTATTCTTTTATAATTACTAATTATTAAATATTTAATATATATAAATAAAAATTTGAAATAAAATAAATAAAATAAACGAAATAATAACTATATAAACTACAAATATCTAAATATGATGTTACGATGGTCTGCCACAATAGACGTCACGTGACCCCGACGCTTAGGTAACCGGATCAGAGGGATCATTAGTGATCCAGTTGATCGGATCAGAAGGATCATTTGTGATCCGACTGAGCACAGAGAACGAAGGTCTATATAAGGGAATGGGTTTCATTACAATGTAGAGCTTCGTGCTCAAGAACAATCATTAGTTTCATTACTATAGTTACGAGAATTGCAACCAGTTACAACCTTATTGAATTCCTACTTGAAGTCTAGTCTAAACCACCTCGAGAGATCTCTAGCCACTTCCACGTGACCCTAGAGGCAGCTCCCGTAACATATGATTTCTATTATAATTTATTATACAATCAAACTTAAAGAAAGAAAGATACCTTTCATTTGAATTAATATATTAAATGTAATTATTAATCTGATAATCTAATAATAATAACATAATAAATATACATAATCTATTGATATTAAACAAAATCATATAATTATTATATACTATTCAATTGTTATGGGAGCTGCCTCTAGGGTTATGTGGAAGTGTTTAGAGTTCTCTCAAGGTGGTTTAGACTAAACTTTAAGTAGAAATTCAATAAGGTTGTAATTGATTGTAATTCTTATAACTATAGTAATAAAACTAATGATTGTTCTTAAGTACAAAGCTTTGTATTATAATGAGATCTGTTCTCTTTATATAAACCTTCCTATTTTACAAAACCTATAATTCTGTTCTACTTAAATCCCTTGAATCCTAAGCTCCAAAAGCTCCTGGCTCCTTGAATCCTAGGCTCCAAAGGCTCCAACGTCCTATCACATGACACTTATCACGTGATCCAATGTTACCCGTCGTAACATCAATCTAATAACCTTCGAATGAAAAACCTTAAACATTTTAACATAGTCACTTTTAATATTTTTATTGATTTATAAATCAATTACTAATATGATCTCAACTATTATTATAAATACTTTTCAACTCCTTAAATCAGAGCTATTAATTACAATAACAATAACAAAAACCAATCAATTTTTTTTATCTTATCATACACATTTGAATTTCAACGATTATAAAATTTTGAATAACTAAAGCAATTTATAATCCAAAAGTCGAGTCAGAGATCCAAACATACGACTGGGAAAATCTTATGCCTGAGATAAAATAACAAAACTGGTTCATCGAATCGATACCGCGCAACCACTGTAATATTCCTATTCAAAAGAACCACTCTGATCCAACGTCAGACGTTTCTTGAATCGTCCATAGGTTCAAGAAACCTGCCATTCGAGCTGGATCCCAAATGAAGCAGTCAGGTCAAACCGTCAGGTCAAACCGTCAAGTCAAACCGTCAAGACGAACCCCTTCTCAACATCTCCTCGCAATTCTCCTCTTCAATAACCCTAAACGCTCCACCACAACACACAACCGTAAAAACTCAAGTCCAGCGTGTATTTGTGTTTGTCTTTCAAGGATAGGAAATCGGTACGTGGAGGATGTAGAATAGACTTGGAGCAAAAAAGGACAAGAAATATCAAACATAACATCGGAGGCACCACACTCGTAGCTCTCTACCTACTTCTCTCAAACTAAATCTCGTTTATGACTTACATCGAGATGTAACCACTAGGCTGGCATACAATCTCAACAACTACCCAATCAAGGGAAAACCGAAAAAGAATGCGCAGCAAAAACAACAATATAAAAGGAGGATTTTTTTAGGAAGAGAAAGACTGAAGATAATATAATCTAAAAGTACACACACACATTATTGTTATACCACCACTCGCCAAAAATTACCCACTCTCTCTCCCTTTCTTTCCCCTACTCCTCCTTCCCCTCCCTCTCTTCCCCCAACTTCCCAAAATCCCTCCCCTCAAAAATTCAAAAATCCTCCCAAAAGAGCCAAAAAAATCAAGTGACCAGACTGGGGCACGATCCCAGGACCTTGTCCGAACATAACAAGCCATAACCACTTTTCAGCAGTCATGAAATTGTTAAGGACACGTGATAACCAACTACACCATCCGGCCTTTTTTTGATATACCCTATGGTTTAGTTCAGGTTTATACATCATCGTTCAAACAATGTAGTGGGATGAGGGTGTCAGAGTGGGGTCATGGATGGATGGACATTCACAATAGAAGGGTGGGCTTACAGGTATGGTATGAATGGATAATTTGGATGAAAAATTTCGTTGGCTGAGCTAATCATCGCGCAAAAGTGGTGGAGTGGAGGTGGAGTGCATATGTCCGATCCAATCAGTAATTGCAGTGGCGGTTTAAACCTTCGGCATATGGGATTGTTGCATATCAAATCCCGTTCGCTCATCGAATCAAAATGTTACGACGGAAAAGAGTTTGAGACAAAAGAGCCGAAATGCCTTGTGATATATTGTGATATAATTGTTTCATAACTCATCGAAGTAATCAAAAGAATAGTAAAATGGCCACGAAGAAGCCTCTGGTATCTGTAATACATAATTCCCATCTATCCATCATCCATCAGCACGCACCCACGCTCATGCAATTTTCAAACTCATATCCCCATTATCCTATCAAGAATTCATTAATACACCCCTGATATCTTCCCTATACCACTTTATAGATCTTTCAAACTACTATCTTCAGTCGAAGTTGTAGTTTCACTCTGTCCATTTTCATCCTGAACTTCCATTCCTGCTCCTTTCTTTTCCCTTTTAGTATTTTGTCTGTTATCCCGTAAAAAATCAACTTCTGCTTTATTTTCAGCCCCCAATTCACCATTTCTTTCCTTTTACTTTTCTCTAGCCTTCTCCATCTTATGTATAGCCTCTTTGGTCAGATCCTGCTTAAACATTCTTTCCAAAACATCCTTCTTTCTAGTCCTATGATCTCCAACACTGATCAGTACACCAGCTGTTATGTTGACTGTAATACTGCAGCATAGAATAACTGTAGTTAATGCAAATGGTCTAGTCTTGTAACTGATTGCCCAAGTACATGTGCCAAGAGCTATTTGAAGAAGAGAATGGCAATCCAGAAGAACGACAACAGCGACAAGTAATCTTAGAGGAAAGGCGTGATGTGTAGTAGTTTCGTGAGGCTTATAAAACGTATGAGATCGGTTAAATTTCTTTTGATGATGTTGAAGTTTCTTCTGTTGAGCTGGACTGAGGACTGATACTTCATCTTCGACAATCTGATCTTCTAGA